ATTCATAAAATTTTTTCAGAGACAAAACATTAAAACAAAAAAGATAATTTAAAAAAAAATTACCTAAGAAATATAGTTGTAAATATTGTTGGATATGGGTGAAAAATAAAACACATCGAAACTTTATAAAAATATTCATAACAAAATATGAAACATAATTAATTTGATAAAATAATTTGAATAGAAAACACATTATAAATTATACAACTCATTAATTCATTATTAATGTCAAATATTTAAAAAAGCTACTAAAAATGTGAGTGTGTTAAGCCATATAGGAATGAGTAAAAAAAACTGTAAAATTGTATTAATGCCAATGATTCAAACCTTTAACCTTTACTATTGCCAAACATGTGTTTGACCAACTAATCTAAAACATTTCTTGTTGATACTTAATAGTTTTTCTATACTAATACTAAATCCTGTATTATATATACATACAAAGATTATATATGGGGTGGGGGTGGGATGATGGGGGTAGCTGTCCCCTACCCCCTTTAATTTGGCTCTGTCCTTGAAACACGGATTAATCTGAGTATGGTACATACACCTCGTGGTTTGACAAAAAAAAAATTATATTAAAAAATTGTAAAAAGAAACTTTTACATTTTTAAATAAACAACTATTTTACAGAGTAATTAGACCGTTGAAATTTATAAGAAATATGGATAACGTGAAAGCAAGTGGGAGTGTAATGATATTTTGTTTGTATCGAACGAGAATTACATGTTAATCTTGGCACATGCTATATGTGTGATATTATGAAGTTCAAAAGACATTTAAATTGGGCATATTAGAATAAATTTATGGAATCTGAATATGTATATGTCATGTTTATATATTATATAATTTTGTTCAATTTATTTTCTGTTATTATACTTTTTGTTTTGTTTATTTTATTTTTTATGTAGCCCATGTATGATTTAATTAATTTAATCGCTTTATCAATTTATTTTCTGTTATTATACTTTTTGTTTTGTTTATTTTATTTTTTATGTAGCCCATGTATGATTTAATTAATTTAATCGCTTTACACAGGAACGGATCCAAAAAAATTATCTGAGTGCGAACGAAGTTCTAATGACGTTAGAAATGTAAATGACAAAATATCAAACAAATATAATAATATTAAAATATAAAAGTATAATGTTTTTGATAGATTATATGATAGTTATGGTCGGAGCCAAAAATATAATTGAGTTGGGTAAAAAATGTGAAAATATTTATGACAAAATATTAAATATAATTAATTAGATAAAATAATTTGAATAACACTATATTTATAAATATTTTTCAATTTTAATTTCTTTTAGTTAGATTAACTTTAAGTTTTTTTTTTTAAATTAATTCGAATACAATGAAGTATAATATAAACTTGTATAGTACATTTATTAAATGATTCGTAAAAAAAATAGACTAAAAGAGTATTTAATTTGTTAATTAAATGATTTAGAAAAATAAACTAAAAAAATATTTAATTTATCTTGTGAATAAATGAAAGAGATAAAATAAGAAAAAATGATGTTAATAAGATTTGAACTTGTGACATGAGCTTTTTAATATTATTAAGTTTAAAATTTAATTACAAAAGCTATTCAAACTATTAATAATTTAAACATAAATATATGTTTTTTATAATATTTAATACTATATATATATATATACACACACACACATACATAAATACATACATACATATAAAGGGGAGGAGTGGGGAGGGGACAGCTACCCCACTGCTCCCACAGTGACTCAGTCCTGACTTTACAAGACACACTTAGTTATTACTCCGTATTATTTTATTGTCATATTTAGAACTATTTGTTCAACCAAATGTGTAAGCAACTTTAATTTTTTTTCTCAAAAATTAAAGGCAAATTATTTATAAATTTAACCAACCCATTTTCTAATTTCACAATTTATTTGCAATTATCCTTAAATCATTATTTGTTATTTTAGCAAAAAAAAAAAAAAAAAAGAGAGAAAATGAAAGAAAGAAAAGAAGATGTACAAAGAGTAGGCACATAATTGTGTATTCGAAACTATTGCTCCAAACCCAAGTCTATCCTTTAAGGTAGACCAAATTTTTATTACTCCGTACTATATAATTTTTACTTCTACAAAAAGAGAAGGATTTTTGTCCAAAAAAAAAAAAGAAAAGAGAAGGATTTGCGGGCGGTGGTGCCGTGCACATGGCTACAGTCCACGATAGTCATCCGATGGTATATACCGACTGCCAAAGTAGGTCCCACCGTTCTGGTGGACCACACAAAAAAAGCAACAAAACTCGACAATCAGCGTCAGTATTTTTCCAAGAATTTTTATAGTTGTAGAAAGACAGATCTGCCCCTGTCCTAACCAAATTCACCCGCATGCCCTTATCCAGTCACGACAGTGATATGTTACGTTAATATGTCGCCGATTTAACGGGCCAATAAACAGAGTTTAGATTCCGATCCGGGAACGTCAGCGTCGGGTTTCGCGCCTTCCGCAGTTTGACCCTGTGAGCTGACGTGTTCCCTTGGAAGGTAGTACACGGGCACCGGAATTTGGTGGCAAGTTGAGGGTAAAATGGTCCTGGTAACTTTTGGGAAACGGCTACTTATTTTGCTGCATGGGTATTCACGATCTACCTTTTTTGAATTTGAACTTATTACTTTGTAGTAGATTTATTTAATTTAAATAATTAAATGCAACAAACCTCAGGTATGTTTTTAAAGCTGTTGATTTCATTTGACGCAATTACCCTTTTTAATGACAGATAATTTCACGTGTACTTTTTTTTTTTTAATTTTTTTTTTAACCAAATAGAACATTCATTAATTTAAATCGTAAGGAAAATGTTTTCCTTGAATTTGAGGAAAACTAAAGGTCCGTTTACTAACAAAAAATTGTAATTTATTTTCTATTTTTTAGTTTTTTAATTTTCAATTCTCTATTTTATGTTTAAAAAACTTGTTTACTAACAAAAAATTGTTCTCCTGTTTTCTAATTTTTCAGTTTTCACTTAAAATTTAGTTTAGATAATATTAATATTTTTTGAGCTAATATTTAAAATATCTTTTTTGGATATATTCATTTGAATGACATGTTTGTGTGTGTGTGTGTATGTATATATATATATATATATATATATATATATATAACTTTTACTTTGAATTCTAATATATGTGAGATTTCAATATCCGATATCTGGACCAAACTTGTATTATGATGTAACGTAATTAAAAATATTCGAACTAATAATCTATTGAGATCAATCAAAATCTAAAACATTATATAGAGTTTAATTCTTAATTTTGATAATGTGAATAATGTCTAACTTTAAAGTATGTAAGCAGATAAATTATTTTTAAATAAGTATAGTAAGTAGAAAAGATAGAAGATAGTGATAAGTAAAATAAGATGATAATGAATGTAACTATAGTAATGTGATTATACTGACATATGACTAAATAGATGATAAATGATTATGTTTTCCATTTCGAAAACAGTTTTAAGTGTGTTCAAGTTTTTCAAAAATTTCCATAAATTATTTTCAGTTTTCAAAATGGAAAACTGTGTTAGTAAACATGTTTTCTGTTTTTTATTTTTCAGTTTTCAAAAATTTCCAGAAATTTACAGTTAGTAAACAGCCCATAAATTTTCTTTTGTTTGAAACATTTTTCTCAAAAATGAATAAAACATTTTCCATGGTCCTCCCTTAGTATTTTGTTTTCCCATGAAAAAATGTTTTCCATGAAAAACAAGTAGAACAATTATACCCTCGCCAAATTTTTTTTTTTAATTACCATTGTTATTATTGTTGTTATTATTATGTAAGGGTATAATTGTCTTTATACTTACTATTCCTTACAATTCTAAACTCAACCAAACAATAAAAACAATATTCCCAATAATTTATTTTCCACTAACCAAACAGTGTAATTAATCTCTTCGATAATTTTTTTCCATAAAATTTAAATTTCATTTCTCCTCAAATATTTTTCGCGAACCAAACAGGGCCTAAAAGATGGAGGGGGTAGTATCCACTCCTGATGTATATGCACAGAACATGCTTCCTATGCAAGATTATAGACATCACAATTTGCAGTTGGATAAACATGAGAGATAGCCATACCTATATTACACATTTTATAACAATAACTTTTTAGGGGACCTTTGATTTATATAATTCAAAATAAAATTTAATGTTGCATAATACATATTGTCTTCAAATGATACAACTTGATTAAAAGCTCACTATTCTATAATTTTTTAAAAATAAAAATGTATATTTTAATGGATTATCTGTAAAGTAATACATATAATACAATTTAATTATTATTTTTTAATTTATTACAACTATACTCAGTTTATGAGAACTTTAATGTTTTGTTGTTGTTGTTGTTGTTATTTGTTTGTTTTGTTTTGTTTTTTTTTGTTTTTTGTTTTTGTTTTTTTTTTTTGCAAAGGTTAGATGTTTAACGAATCAAAATAAAATTGATGACCAATTTGACGTGTCTAGCAAACGCATGCAAAACATACGCTCATTGGATGTTTAGTGTGTGTAGGTCTTTTTTTTTTTTGATAAAAATCCAAATTAACAGTAAAATTATATTTTAATACTCTATCCGTTTTATTTTATGTGTTTGGTTCGTTCGATTAACAAAATTTGATTATAGTTATTTATAAAATATTAAGTTTAGTATTAATATATATTATTTATATATTAAGAAATTATAATAAAAATATTATTAAACATAAAAATTTAAATTTAAAAGTACTAAATTGAAAAGAAAGAATTAATTTGACGAATGAATAATAAACATGATAAAAAAACAGGTGGAACATACAAATTAGATGTGTACAATTTGAATTCCCAATGCAATTAGGCAATCAGTGGCATTGTTGTAATAGTTCAAAAAACAACGGGCATATTCTCGAGACACACCCAGGCCCCCACACCCCACTCAAAGATAACTCCAATTTTAATGCACTCCTGCTGGTTCCATGTTCTCTTCTCTCACTCTTTCTTTCTCTCTTTCATTCACCCCTCCCTTCTCACCTTACTTTTCTGCTAAGTTGCTTAAAGCTGCAGCGCCACAACCAACCCCCTCTCTCTATCCCTCTCTCACTCTGCTTTTCTCCCTTCTCTCTCCTAGGGTTTATACTCCTCACCACTAATCCTTCAACCTCTCAACTCTCCATTGCAGTATCTTCAATGCGACATCCATATCTCTCACCTTACACTTCTCAACCTCGCATCCTGCTTGTACTGTCTACTCTCTCTCTACACTCATCCTGCAGTTATACTGATATTGATATGTGTATTTGTTCTTATATGAGTGTGATTTTTAGTTTTGAAGTTTTTGCTTTGTTGCCTGGGGTAATGTGGTTGTGAAATGTGAAGTTTATTTTATTTTATTTTAATTTTTACTGTTATTTTTGTGGTTGTAGAAATTATTATAGGTGAAGAAAGAGTGGGGGAGTTTCTGGTGAGGTGTGAAGCTAAGAAATGACGTCGAGAGGGGGGGCGGAGCCGTCGCTGCAGCGGCGGTTAACGAGGACGCAGACGGTGGGGAACATCGGGGAGTCGATATTTGATAGTGAGGTGGTGCCGTCGTCACTGGTGGAGATCGCCCCTATTCTTCGTGTTGCTAATGAAGTCGAGCCCAGCAATCCCCGTGTCGCATATCTCTGTAAGCATATGTGTTTTCAGTTTTATGAATGCCTTGTGTAATCGTTTGGTTTATTTGGAATTGTTCGCTTCGGATTACCAGATAGGAGCCTGATGAATTTGCCTACTATGTGAACTTTTAGTTTTGGCCTTTAAAGTAGCTGCCTTTATAATCTGTATAGCAGTCAGACAGTCAGTAGATGATGTTTTTGAGTAGTTGTTACAGATGAATTTGTCAAGATTATAGCATTTTAGTCTTTACTGGGAATCTAACTATCTAAGGTTTACTTTTTTAATTTTTATTTTATAAATAATTAAATTTTACTAATTTTCAGTGGTTTCTGTTCATTGGATTATCAAGATGAGAATTGCCCTTGAATTATTATAATTGTTTACACATAATTTCCTGGTTTAATGTAATTTTGATTGATTTTTTTTAATCATTACCTTTTAAGATATTGGTAATTGGTTAGTGTTTTTTCATCAACTGATTAGGTATGGGTTGGAAAAGCATATTTCTTTGCTATAGTGCGAGGAAATTTCATTTTTGAGGAGCTCATAAAATGGAGGACAAGTATCCTCTGTAAGAGAGAAAAGACTCTTAAACATGTGACTTAATTTCTTTTAAGGATGAAAATGTTTCAAGATTTGGAATTAAAATTGTCTTCTTTGTAATTAACATTAAATGGATTTGTAGTTAAGGATGAAAATCTTTCAAGATTTGGAATTAAAATTGTCTTTGTAATTAACATTAAATGGATTTCCAAAACTACAAAAGATTATCAATTCTTCATATAACTTAATCTGCTGCTATAGCTTGGAATCTGAGATGTTCTGAATCTTTTTTCAAAATCTTGGAATCCTAGAAATCTATTTGTCAGAACCATACAACATGTGCATGTAGAAATACCTATTAGTCTTGGAAGGAACATAAACCACGGTCCATACATTGGCTTTAATAAGGTCTCACCCAGGCTCTGGGGTTTTGGCTGCAGTTGCACTGAAAATGATACTGTGATCAAAGAATGACATTCCTATGATGGAGGATTGTCAGATTTCCTTATGACACTAAAATGGAGCATCCACTTTGCTTTGCATTTGACATTAAGGCCCAATTCTGTTACTAAAAAGGTCGAGTAATGGCTAGTATTGATAATAGATTGAAGGGAGAGTTGGGAAAAAAAAATCTATTATAGCCATACATGTGAGCATATGCACATGGACTTTCATTTTTGAAGTGCTATTGCTTGCCGGATCGGGATCTCTAATAATTTTTAGATTATACTTTTCAAGTTGTCACATCAATTTCCCCTACAACAATGTATCAATGGTAACATGTATCCACATCTTAATGACTCTGATTAAGTGAGAGAATTTTTAGGGTGCTGTGGCATTCTGGTCTGATTATTAAACAACTAAAACAAAAGTTTTATGTAGAATAGTAAATATCTCCATTACCAAGTGGTTAATTGCTGAGTAGTTACATGTCTGGAGTTTTGTCTAGCTGTATTCTTATCTCTTCTCACACTGGTTAATTTGTTTGTCATCTATTTGAACTTTAATATATGGGAACTTTTATAGGTCGATTTTATGCCTTCGAGAAAGCTCATCGTCTAGACCCCACATCAAGTGGACGTGGTGTACGCCAATTTAAAACTGCACTTCTGCAGCGGCTTGAAAGGGTAAGTACCATAATGTGCAGTTCTTTTTGCACTTGAATGACATATGCATACTACATTTGAGGTCATTTGCTAGTGTGCTATTATTTAGTGTCAAACTTTATTATCAATGTTTCTATCTTTCTAGTGGTGATGAGCTTGGCAAGATTGTTAGGTTGCCTTGCTAGTATGGTTGTGCTTTTTGAGTTGCTATTATTTTTGAGGTCCCCTTTTCTTTGTTCTTTACATTTAATCTAATAATTTGCATTTTAGTTGCGTATGCCATTTCTGTTCATATTGTGCTTGCACCAATGGATTTGTTTCTTGGATTCCAACACTTTCAGCATATTAGATCTTGGAGAATTAGGTTGCCTGTGACCCTACATCTTTTAAAATGCTTTTGTAGAAGATTTTGAAGTTCTAATAGTTTGGATATCTGTCACTTGTCTTGATAATTCATTCTTGCTGTTTAAAAATTCATTTAACCCTTTTGCCATGTTCTCAGCTCTCAAATGCGGGCGCTTGCACTTGTGCTTAAATTTGATATAATTTTCTGTTTATTTTACAAAAATGTTTGTCTAAATTGAGTTGGTTAAATAAATTTTCACATTTTATAAAATTATGATAATAGTTGGTACTTCCATCCAAGAAATTATAGTCCTGTTTCACTTTTCACGAGTCCAAACATATTTAATTTGGATATATTCTTTTGAAATTTATATTTGGAATTTCAAAGTGAAATAACTTGTATTTGAGACTTTGTAGTACTTGGAAGGAGTATCTTTTACAATTATTATTTGGTTTTATGATAGGTATTATTAATAAGTTGCTTGCCCCTGCGTTACTTTTTTTAAAAAGTATTTTGCTCTTCTCATGTTTACTTGAATTAGCACATCAGTTTCAGAATTTCATACTCTCAAGGGTATTGTATAGTTTTGCTAGATTCTAATAAAACTTTTAGTTATATAGATTTTACAATGATTTTTCAGGAGAATGATCCAACCTTGATGGGCAGGGTGAAAAAAAGTGATGCCCGTGAAATGCAGAGCTTTTATCAGCATTACTACAAAAAGTACATCCAAGCTTTGCAAAATGCTGCTGATAAAGCTGATCGGTAAGTTTCTTTTTATTGTTTTTTTACAGCTTCACCCCCTCCCCCCCTCCCCCCCCCCCTCCCCCTTATCTTTAAGAATGTTGGTGCTGCCCTTCTCGCTGCATTAAGCATTAATAGAACTCTAGTTTAATTACTTAACCTGCTAAAATTTCAGTGCCCAGCTTACAAAAGCATACCAAACTGCAAATGTTCTCTTTGAAGTTTTGAAAGCAGTCAATCAGACACAATCTGTAGAAGTGGATCGTGAGGTGAGCATGAAAGATGTTGCATGTTTTTGTGCACAAGCTATAATAACATATCCTCTCTTTATTTTCAAACTTCATATTTAGTTATTGCAGAGAAAAAGAGTTTCTTTGTGCAATTTCTTTTTGTCATGCTAGTGCAAGTATTTTCCATTCTGCAGATTTTAGAAACTCATGATAAAGTTGCCGAGAAGACAGAGATATATGTCCCTTATAATATACTTCCACTTGATCCAGATAGTGTGAATCAGGCAATCATGAAGTATCCAGAGGTTTGCTTTTACACTTTTGCAGTTCTTTCATGTTTACCTTTCATTTTATCAGTCTGACATTTTCTTTGGTTCCTCAAAGATTCAAGCTGCTGTTTATGCTCTTCGAAATACCAGAGGCCTTCCCTGGCCTAAGGATTACAAGAAGAAGAAAGATGAAGATATTCTTGATTGGCTTCAATCAATGTTTGGTTTTCAGGTGAAGGACTAATACTTTGTTGGGGGCTAGGATGTTTTCTTGGTTCTGAGACCTAACATTTCTTATGATTTTGAAGAAGGGTGCCTAAATGGTGACTTTGGCTCTATTAATTTGCAGAAAGACAATGTTGCAAATCAAAGAGAGCATCTCATCTTGCTGCTAGCTAATGTACACATACGGCAGAATCCAAAGCCTGACCAACAACCTAAGGTTTGTTGTAGGCAACTAATTTACCTCTTCTATGGACATGGTCAATTATTCAATTTCTCTACTTTTTCTCTGACTTTTTAATGGAGCCCCTTATCATGCAGCCAAATAACTTTTCATGAACGCCATAAAGAAAGATTAATCCATTTATTTATTTATTTATTTTTGGAGATCCTCATTTGATGACTGTGCATCAAATTAAGTGATGATGAAGCTCTTAAACATTGCAACAAACTCTATTAATTGAAGTTCATTTAAGATGTGCCATTATATTTTGCTTTATCTTTTTGTTATAACCTTTTTATTTGATGTTATTTTTAATTGACAAAGTAACTTATGTTCCCCATTTTGCTCAGTTGGACGAACGTGCTTTGAATCATGTGATGAAGAAACTCTTCAAGAACTATAAGAAATGGTGCAAGTACTTAGATCGCAAAAGTAGTCTTTGGTAAAACTTCTTAAACCAGGACTGCATGATTTCTCTATACATGTTACTATTTCGTATACAAATTCCTTAACCTCTTGTTACTAGTCTCAAGAATTTCACATACTATCTTTAATATTCACCTAGTAATTTTTGTTGTATAAAAGTATCTTTCTTGATAAAGTAAAAACATAATGTTCCTTCAGGTTCGTTGACATCTCATGGTTTTTCTGTGTTCAGCATTACATTAGACTATAAAAATCTCGTTCTCAAATACACTTTTCTGTGTTCTTATTGTGGATTTCTTTTATTTTCAAATTTATAGGTTGCCAACCATACAACAGGAAGTGCAACAACGTAAACTATTATACATGGGATTGTATCTCCTTATATGGGGCGAGGCTGCAAATTTGAGATTCATGCCAGAATGTTTATGCTATATATATCATCATGTACGTTTTAAAATACTACTTGTTTATAAAAGACTTGTGCAGATGCATACCTTTTTTATTTTTTCTTTATTTTATTTAAAAAAAAAAATTAAAGTGCCTTGCTTTTTGGTAAGAAGATTAAGTATCTATTAGGGGGAAAATAAAATTGCTTGTGTTTTCTCATCCTTTCCCTCGTGTGTTATAGACGTCATCTGAATAGCATTTTTTTTAGCAGCAGGATGAGATAATGCTCAATGTTGTTGCTGCTATGTTGATGTGTATTAGTAGATACAACTTGAAGGGGAACAAATTCATAGGATAAAATGGGAACATCTTGTTGGGCATATGATTGTTGTTGATTCTTTTAACATTACAGAATAAAACTAGAATAAAATTAGTTCAGCGAACAGGTCTTTTTTAAAAAAGCTAGGAATTTGGTTGGTCATTCATGTTAGACGAGGCACATATGTACATGAAAGAGAAGGTTATAATGGGCGTATGCATTGATAGTCTATATGAGGCATTCTTTTTGGAAGGTTTAGTCAGATAATTAAATACTGTCACTTTATTCAGCAGAAAAGCTTTAATGTAATCAAGATAAGCAAATAATATTTTAAGATAGGTTGGAACAAAGTTAATTTGTTCAAAAGAAACTTTTCTTTGTGATAAATCATAAGCCTTTATTGGCTGGCTTGTCATTCTCTAGATCAGATGTGGGTTATAATTAAAGTTGCTTGTAGAAAATAAAGTATATTATGGGAAACTGATGAAATATATAAGGATCGATGAAATAAGTATGAAAAGCCATGGAATTAGGGTAATCTTTTATGTGACCTTGTATGTTATGATGGTCTGAATGGGCTAAGTTGGATAATAGTTTCATTAAGACATTTATTAACTCCATTATGTGACTTCTTTCTTACTCTTACCCTGGTTTCCTGAATTTCTTTCCTCTCTTTTATTTATGTATTTATTTATTATTCAGATGGCTTTTGAACTCTATGGCATGCTAGCTGGCAATGTCAGTCCCATGACTGGTGAAAATGTGAAGCCAGCCTATGGAGGAGAAGAGGAAGCTTTCTTGAGAAAAGTTGTTACTCCGATCTATGAAGTGATTGCACATGTATGTCAGACTTACATTTTTATTAATTTTGCATTCCACTACCCACACTATTCACTTGTTTGAAATTTCTTTAAATTCTTGGGGTGAAAATATTTGTTAACCCTCTTCACAACTTTGATTAGGAAGCTAAAATGAGCAGAAGAGGAAAATCAAAGCATTCCCAGTGGAGGAACTATGATGACATAAATGAATACTTTTGGTATTTTTCTTACTCTCTCCACACCCCACTCCAATTCATATTCTAAGAGCTGTATTTTCTGTTTGCCAATCTCAAGCTTCCTTAATCCTTTCTAGGTCTGTAGATTGCTTCAGATTAGGTTGGCCTATGCGTGCTGATGCTGATTTCTTTTGCCTGTCACCGGGAGACAAAAATGAGGTAAGTATCAGTAATCGATTGGAATGATCATATTACCATGGATTGATTTTTTTTTTTTTTTAAATAAAAATTATTATTACCTTTACTTTACAAATAGAATGGAGGGAAATAAGAAGAGGAATGCTAATCTGATATTGCTTGTCTCATGAATATCACTTTTGTTCATTTACTATGCAGCTTAGATTATTCTATGTAGGTTCAGTAGTCTGTGTCCTTTAGAAATTACACTTTTATTTTACTCACTAGTTTGTGTGTATCAAGAAATGGGCTAAGTCTGGTAATCCTTGTGGTTTATAACGTAGTATCATATCTGTAATTGTATTCCGGTAGGATTTTTTGAGGTTTTGACAGAATTATTGTTGATATATGATTCTAATTAGTTGGAATTACTCTTATATTTAGGGTCAGAATACTAGAGATCGTTGGGTGGGAAAGGTTAATTTCGTTGAGATACGCTCATTTTGGCACATCTTTAGAAGCTTCGACAGAATGTGGAGTTTCTTCATATTGTGTTTACAGGTATATTCTCCTTATAATACATGATTTCCTGGTTCTGTTAGTTTTTTTGTGCCATATTTAGTTTATCTGTTTTTTCCCAGGCTATGATAATTGTTGCTTGGAATGGTAATGGGGAACCTAGCGCAATATTTGATGCTGATGTTTTCAAGAAAGTACTTAGCATCTTCATTACTGCAGCTATTCTAAAGCTTGGACAAGGTTTGTTAACTATTTACTTTACTGTCTCAGTGTCTCCTTTAAATTCCACTCTCATCCCAAAAAGAAAAGAATACTGGTTCAAATGATAGTCCAATAGTGTCTCAAACTTCCATTGTTTTGATATTTTCTATTGAAAAGAGATTATTTTAAACAATAATGAACTCTGCACTATATGAGCCTAACGGGTTCTCTTTGGATAAAATAACAGGCCTTTGAGATTATTTTAAACAGTTTTTTGACAAAATTGCACAGTTAGTTCAGTAGGGTTTGAAGTTTTCCATGTAATTCTATAGTGATTTCCATTTAAATAATCATGGACCTATAACCTATTATTGCTATGCCTGTCATTTATTTAATTGTACATACAACAATCACCCTAATATAATATTTGACCTCTGATTAACACTGAAAAACTTTATTGATGTGTGCAAAAACTGTACATATCCTATCAAATTTCTAATTTTAGTTGTTATCTATCTTTGGTTATTTTAAGGTTTGATTTCCTTACTATTTACTGAAATTTTGCTGCATGTTTATATCCATAAAACCCTTAGTTTATTACTAATGGAGTTGTATACATAAATTATTTCATTTATTTGATACCCAACTTATGTTTCTATGCAGCCCTTCTTGACATGATTCTTAGTGTTAAAGCAAGGCGAAGCATGTCATTCTATGTTAAGCTTAGATATATCCTAAAAGTTGTATCAGCTGCTGCTTGGGTGATAATCCTACCTGTTACATATGCTTATACATGGAAAAATCCTCCAGCATTTGCTCAAGCCATCAAAAATTTGTTTGGCAATAATTCAAGTTCTCCCTCACTCTTTATCCTTGCTGTTGTAATATACCTATCTCCAAATATGCTTGCCGCTGTTCTATTCCTTTTCCCACTTATTCGTCGATTCCTTGAGAGATCAAACTACAAAATTGTGATGCTCATGATGTGGTGGTCACAGGTATGTTTGAATAATCTGTTTCTTTTAGGGTTGTGAATTTGGGTGAGTGAGTCTATACATTTAGTAGTTCCTGTTCTTATCAAATTGGCTTCTGATAATTTAAAGTTCTTTTCCAGCCTCGACTGTATGTTGGTAGGGGAATGCATGAGAGCGCATTTTCTCTTTTCAAGTAGGGCTTCTGAAGTTGGACCTGTTGACTTTAAGAAGCATAAATTGCTTGTTTCTTATTAACATTTTCTTCAATTTTTTTCAGGTACACAATGTTCTGGGTTCTACTTATTGTGACAAAGTTAGCTTTCAGTTACTATTTGGAGGTGATTGCTTTCCCTTTTTCTCCTAAGCATGGGTAGTTTGTTGTTTTCCCATAGCAAACATGGATTATTATGCCGGTAGATTTCCATTTGTGTGCTTGGTTTTATTTGATGATTGCTTGGAGTTGATTTAGGCTACCTGAAAATTTCAATTTAGTATTTATAAAATGTGACTTGCAGAAAGGAGAGTAATTATTTCCTGCAGACTTGTTTCTTCTGTTTCATTTCAGAAGGAACTGTAGGACCCATTTCTGTCCACCACCATTTTTTTGGTTATTGTAGTTGATTTATCAATTTGTTGCATATTTGCCAAACTAGATAAAAGTACAATTATTTTGATAAAAGGTTGAGACTATTCTGTATATTGTTTAGTGAAAATGTGATGTAATTTTGTATGCTGCAGATCAAGCCTTTAGTAGTTCCAACAAAAGCTATCATGAGTGTCCACATCACCACTTATCAGTGGCATGAATTTTTTCCACATGGTATGATTTCTTTCTTGTGAGCACGAGTATAATATATATGTATGTATGTAATTATGTATATTATATTATATACAAGGGTTATAATGAGACTGTTCAATATGCAGCTAGAAGCAATATTGGTGTTGTGGTTGCACTTTGGGCTCCCATCATTCTTGTACGGCTTACTCAGTGCATTACTTTGTATTTAACAGAGTTGGTGTTCCATATAATTTGTTTTACTATCAGTAAACATTGTTTTTGGTACTTTTTTTTTAGGTATATGTCATGGATACTCAGATCTGGTATGCCATATTCTCTACCATTTTTGGTGGCATTTATGGGGCATTCCGTCGACTTGGAGAGGTCTTGAAATTCCTTATCATTTAATAATGAAATATGTAGACTGTTGCCTGTTACTGCTTCAGTTTGTTGGGGATTGAAGCACGCGTTCTTGAATCTAAACTTGATTTACCCTCAAAGGCTTTAATTGTAAACTCTGGGAGGAAAATGAATTTAGTTTTACTTGATTAGTATTGGTAGAAAGTTAGTATGGATAAATTTTTTCTTCAAAGGTGAGGTGGATTCCCATCTTCTCCTTTGCGGTGTTCATTTTAGGGTCAGGATTTATAACAAATCCAAATCAACTTCACAGCCATCTCTCAACTTTGCTATAAAACTATAAAATGTAATCATGATCCTACTTCTGTATAACTCCTGCTAAACCACAAGTCTTTCACACTACTTGGCAGTCTATTGCAAAACCATATTTATGTCATCAGTCACCTTGTTTATTTTATCTCATATATTGTTTGTTCAAATGAATTTGACTCTCATTTTATTCAATTTTCTTATGCATTGTGCAATTCTGCTGTGTTTTTTCATCAAGTTTAATTTTTGTCATCTTTCAGATTCGCACTTTAGGAATGTTGAGGTCCCGCTTTGAGTCTCTGCCCGGTGCGTTCAATGCATGCCTAATACCAGAGGATAAGAACGAACCACCACAAAAAAAGAAGGGATTGAAGGCCACCTTTTCCCAGAAATTTGCTGTCAGTGTCTTTTATTGTACAATTTTGCATGTGGAAATGTTACCAGTTGTTCAGTTAAAGCTTTATGCATTTGGGGGAGGGGTGAAAGATAAGATACTTAGGGCATGGTTTAGTTTGATAAACTTAATTCCATTTTTCCACTTTTCCATCCTACAAAAAGTGGGTCCCACTCGATTTTTTTTAAAAAAAAAAGCTGTCCATGCTGAAAAACTGGTTGATGTACTGTTCATCCCAGCTCTTCCAAATGCAAAGAGGCTTTTCCAAGTTCTCCAGCTGTCTTTCCTAAGTTGCCAAGTTGGGAAACTTGGGAAATTTTTTTTCCCTTCTCATTTGTTTTCCATTTGAACACATTTTCCTTTTTTCCATTTTCTGGTAAATTGGAAAATTTTCCAACTAGTGAATGTTTTTTTATTACAGGTGCCATCCAACAAAGAAAAAGAAGCAGCCAGGTTTGCTCAGTTATGGAATAAAATTATCAGTAGCTTCAGAGAGGAGGATCTTATTAGCGACAGGTAGTTGTTAAAATTTTGTGTATATACTTCATTAAAATCTTTCAATGATAATTGGTGCAATTTTTTTTTTAATTTTTAATTTAATTTTATTTTTTTTAAGAGTAAAAATATTGATTTATTATGACTTCAAGTAATGTGTCCATGTATATCGTAACAGCCTCTTTGGGTTGCAATGATTTTGTAGATGCATCCAAGATTTCCCTATTGCTCATGGACTCTATTACTCTGGCATCCATTCCTTTATTTGATCAACCTCTCTCCCTAAGAAAGAGGGAAAAAATGTATAGAAATATCAGTTGGTGTCTGGAGGTCTATTAGTTATTATGCTTGTATCATTTTTCAGGGAAATGGACCTCTTGCTTGTACCATATTGGGCAGACCGTGAGTTGGAGATAGTACAGTGGCCTCCGTTTTTGCTTGCCAGCAAGGTTTCTCACATTTCTTTTTTTCTGGTTCTCCCCCTCCCTAATGTTGCATCCTTTGCTAGAGATGTTAGTCTACACTCTGTCATACATACTGGTCAATGGTGATTCCTTAGCAAATTAATGCAAAATAAATATCATCTTTTTGTTTAATTTGAAGATTCAATCCCTACTGAAGTTACTCTTTGGTTTTGTTTTGGACTATTGTTTCTTTCATTGCAATTGCTCATTTGCTTGATCCCTGACGGTAAACTTATGTGATTAGATTCCAATAGCAGTCGATATGGCTAAGGATAGTAATGGCAAGGACCGTGAGCTGACAAAGAGAATTGATGCAGACCCTTACATGTCTTCTGCTGTTTCTGAGTGCTATGCTTCATTTCGGAATATTATTAAAAGCTTGGTTCGCGGTGATCGTGAAATGAAGTACGTTTCTGATAGTTGCGGCATTAATCGTTCCAGTACTTCAAGTCATAATTAATGATGTATTCATTTCAGGGTTATTGAGATTATCTTTTCTGAAGTTGACAAGCATATAGTGGCGGGTAATCTAATTAGTCAATTCAAAATGAGTGCGCTTCCCAGCCTTTATGACCTTTTTGTGAAGCTTATCAAATACTTGGTCAGTATTTATCAATTCGTCCAAATGTTTGTTAAACTATTGATTTGGTTGTTAAGTTGAGAGGTATGCAAATTCAAACTGAAATGGTTTAATTTGCAGCTTGATAATAAGCCAGAGGATAGAGATCAAGTTGTGATTCTTTTCCAAGACATGCTTGAAGTTGTTACACGAGATATAATGGAGGAGGATCACGTATCCATGTAATTCATCCTTTTTTAAAATATTATTATAAATATCCAAATAGGATATTACATTTTACATTACATTTTACCATTTAAATTCAAACAGCTTGGTAGATTCAATCCATGGGGCTTCTGGACATGAAGGAATGATTCCTTTTGAACATCAGCAATATCAATTATTTGCATCTGCTGGTGCCATAAAATTTCCAGCACAGGAATCAGAGGCTTGGAAAGAAAAGGTAGATGTTTATTTATATCATCAGGATACACAACCTAGAGTAGTATTTAACTTTGTGTGCAAGTGGAAACAAATTTCTTCATTCTCTGGTAATGTAGTTTTCTTGCTTTCTTTTTGCAGATCAAAAGATTGTTTTTACTCCTTACAGTAAAGGAGTCTGCAATGGATGTACCATCCAATCTAGAAGCTAGGAGGCGAATATCATTTTTCTCCAATTCTTTGTTTATGAACATGCCTTCTGCTCCGAAAGTCCGTAACATGCTTTCGTTCTCGTAAGTCTTGCTAAACATTGCCTTTAATTTTCAAATTTCCCCTTCTGACTAGTGTTATTAAAAATATTTGATTACTTCTTGCAGTGAGGTTCTCTTGTTACATTTTGTTTCTCCTAACTTTCCAGACACTTTTGGAAGTCATTTTCTGTTTTAAATTATGTACCATAACTCTTGTTTTAGTGGGGTTAAAAGTGGTCATTTCCTGGGGGACAATCTTGTTGGGGCATTGGCTAAAAGTGATCATGTCTTGTTTTGTCAATAATGGAGGAAAAATGTGCATATTTTTCTATACCAGCATGAGTACAAACCACATGCACATAAATACACATACGCATGTGTATAAAAGACTTACAGGTTACCCAAACTAGCTAGGTGAGGGCATATTTAATGGATAGTTGGACAGTAACCATCCAACTCTTAGTATATCTCAGAACTCCAATTCTTAGTCAATGCCATAAGTTCCAAGCTTGTAATAAATGTATTCAGTCCTAGTCCATCTAAAAAGGATTGGTGGATATATCTCCCAGGTCAGTTGACCTATCTAATGAGATAATATTCTCTTGAATCAAGTTACCACCAAAATGAACATATTATAAACAAAGTAACAGTCAACTTTGATGTGTTTTGTTCTCTGGAAATCAAGTTTCCACCAAAATGAACACATTATAATGATGTTGACTTCTTTTATTAGGAGCATCTAGCCTTTGAACACTTCCGTGATCCTTGTTATAACAAATAGGTGCTTGGAAAATGGGAACTTCTTAACATACAGCACTCTTATGACTCTCATGGGAATGCTAAGAGGTGACTAACAGCCCTCACTTCAAATGAAATATTAGTACATATAACTTCAGGTAGAACAATTTCCCTACTAACCTTAGAAGCTCCCCCTCTTCCGATAGAAGCTTAATGTTGGGTTCCATGGGAGTTTTGTTAAGCAGCTTGCAATCTAACATGTTCCATAAGATGTTAATTATATGTTTCGGTACATCCCAACAATTCCATTGACATGTGACATGTATATTAATTCATATTCTTCATGCTACTTTTGTTTTGTTTATCAAGAAAATAAAAAAGAATATGCTAAGATCAAGCACCCATTGCCTCAACCAATCTATGCAATACGTTCATTGTTCAACTTCCAAGGTCATCATATAAAACTGATTCAATTTCATGTCCAAAATTTTATAACAGAATAAAAGTAATCTCAAGTACTCGGATGATTGTGCAAATATAGAAACTTCAAATAACTTCTATTTCATGGGTTCTAGACATGCGTTAATAACATCCTTTTTCGTAGTGTTTTGACTCCATACTACACAGAGGAGGTCCTTTTCTCATTGAAAGGCCTTGAAGAACCAAATGAAGATGGGGTCTCCATCCTTTTCTATTTGCAGAAAATTTTCCCAGGTTAAGTGTTGAGTTTCCAACTCCATACTTTTGGCAATCACAACTTTTTCACCAAGCTGACAAAGGTTAACATACAGATGAATGGAACAACTTCCTTGAGCGTATGAATTGCCTCGGTGACGAAGAGCTAAAAGCATTATTGGAAATAGAAGAAAAAGCTTTGTATGCAAGTGAACAACTACGTCTTTGGGTATCCTATAGGGGCCAGACATTGACTAGAACTGGTATGGGGGTTATTTTTTAATATATGGGATATAATATGTTCTTTTTTGTTTATTCAAGGCAGGACAGTGATGTGCTCCTATTTGCGCACTTTCTCCTCTTTCCTTCTACCACAAAGCTGCAAAATTTTTATTGTATCTGCATATTCAATGTTTATTTCATTTTTAAATTGCCAGTGAGAGGGATGATGTATTACCGCAAAGCTCTAGAACTTCAAGCCTTCCTTGATATGGCCCGGGATGAAGGTATGTATTTCTACAAAGGCACTTGTGCATATTTTTAATTTTATTATTATTATCTTTTTATTAATGCCACTGTTTGGAGTTGTTTTAAAGAATTGGTTTTACTTGTGATAATCGAACAGACTTGATGGAAGGGTATAAAGCCATTGAGTTAAATGAGGATCAAATGAAGGGAGAAAGGTCATTGTGGGCACAATGTCAAGCAGTGGCTGATATGAAATTTACATATGTTGTATCATGCCAGTCATATGGTATTCACAAACGATCTGGTGATCCGCGTGCACAAGATATTTTACGACTCATGACAACGTAAGAGTAGAAATTTACTATGTTGTTCATTTGTTAATGTGTGAGTTGTAAGCACTGCATGTTTTATTTAACAGGTACCCATCTCTCCGTGTTGCATATATTGATGAAGTTGAAGAACCAACCAAAGACAGGCCAAAGAAAGTCAACCAAAAGGTTTACTACTCGACTCTTGTGAAGGCTGCATTGCCAAAGTCAAATTCCTCTGAGCCTGGCCAAAATTTGGATCAGGTATTTGTTAAGATATAATATACTGTTCATTGAGAAGTTATTCACCAAAAGGCCCTCCCAGTAGTTACTATTGAGTAATGTGATTCACCTCTGTTGAAATCTCAAGTGTAGCGAGGATACATGTCTTTATGAATTATTATTATTTTTATCATTATTATAATAATTATAATTATAATTATTTTCTCTTAACGAGGAGTCGAGGATACACATTTTTTATACGGAGTATTTATCTTCAACAATTACTACTGTTATACTATGTCACTATGATTACTATTTGACTCCAAAAGTTGCATTTATGTCCATTTTCAGATTATATATCGAATAAAATTACCAGGTACTGCTATCTTGGGTGAAGGAAAGCCTGAGAATCAAAACCATGCTATTATCTTTACACGCGGAGAAGGTTTGCAAACAATAGATATGAATCAGGTATTCTGGTGCTACTGTGTTATCGTATCCCATGAGATTTTTAATTCATGGTCTGCCTTTTGACATTAACATGCATTTGAAGGATAACTATATGGAAGAAGCATTGAAAATGAGAAACTTGCTTCAAGAGTTTCTGAAAAAGCATGACGGTGTGAGGTATCCTTCTATACTTGGGTTGAGGGAGCACATATTTACTGGAAGGTATGCTCTTAATATGAAGTAATTATTTTTTGTGTTGGATATATATTGCAGCTTTCCCTATTAATTTCTGTGTGTCTACTTAATTTCTTCATGTTATCTCATGCAGTGTTTCTTCTCTTGCTTGGTTTATGTCGAATCAAGAGACCAGCTTTGTCACTATTGGTCAGAGACTGTTGGCCAACCCACTTAGGTGAGAATTTTAATTTACCCCTGCACTTCTTCCTGAGGTGGCAATTTGTACACCCTTTTTTGATAGGCTACCCATTTTCAACATGTTTGGCAGGTAATTTATAGGATACTAATTTCTGAGGTTTGAGTTTTGACCTGTTCTAGAATTAATTATAAAGAAGGTTGGTAACAGGTTAAAAATAAATTTCATAAAAATGTAACCATCTACGTTATACTTTTTGGTTCATAATGGCATGTATTTTCTTAATACTGCATAGTCTACTAATAATCAGTTTTGGGTGTAAATATGTTAGAACATTCAAAGTGTGGGTTAAAATGGTTTGACATTCCTGCCAACCCTTTAACCCATTCTCCACCCGTTTTTTAATCCTCCCAACTGATCCATAATTAATGGGTTGAAAAGTGTGTTTTTCTATCCACCGAAATTTAGTATAAGTATGTTACTAAACTTTTTTCTTTTTGCTGTGAAAAGTTGTGTATCTTATATACTGGCATACTGCTGTGTCTATAATGTGAATTCTGCTATTGAAATAAATGGTCAAGCCTATTATAGTTCTTGGGGAGTTAGTTATAGGATCAGGCTGCTATAATTACGTTAACAACATAAACACTAGAGCAGTTCTATGTAGGCAGTAAATATATAGGGTTAGGCTTCTAATTTATACAATCCAAATTTAATTCTGCAAGTGACTGTTTTCACACAAACAGGAATAAGTGGAAAATTGACTACTCCTGGCCACCAACTAAAATGGGTTATAGGAGTAGATACATAAATAATTTCATTATTTTCTGCTATATTCCCTTATTCTTAGCGGTCAATCTCCAGCTGAATCTTTGAAAAACTTTTAAGTTAGGAATGAATATTGCTTGTCGAAGTCCCTTAAAGGTAATTGTTTAATTAATTACATGTATGATGTGTTATAATGCACCCATAAAATGCCATTCAGGCACAAGCATGCAATGTGGGTAATCTACTATAATAAACAAGTACTACTGTTATTTTCTAAATCCAAGCCTTGACCAAACTCTAAGTTTCCTCTTTTTGCAGCCACTTTTTGTGAAGAACATTGTAACAACTACTTCTTAAACGTTTACAGGGTTCGATTCCATTATGGCCATCCTGATGTTTTTGATAGATTATTCCACTTAACAAGGGGTGGAGTCAGCAAAGCTTCTAAAGTTATCAATCTAAGTGAGGACATATTTGCTGGTAAGTTATACTAGATAGCAATTGTTTATGTTTTTGCTTCATTTATGATGCCATTTTTATTGTTTTCATTACTTTTGTAGGCTTCAATTCTACACTTCGTGAGGGCAATGTAACTCACCATGAATATATTCAAGTTGGTAAAGGGAGGGATGTGGGGCTTAATCAAATTTCTCTATTTGAAGCCAAGATAGCCAATGGTAATGGAGAGCAAACAGTGAGTCGTGATTTATACAGACTTGGGCACCGATTTGACTTTTTCCGAATGCTATCGTGTTACTTCACTACTATTGGGTTCTACTTTAGCACATTGGTATGTTGCTACAGTTCTCTATTTATGTGTCATTTTTGTGTTGTTATATTTATCTCAACCTTTGCCATTTCTTTGCAGATTACTGTTCTTATTGTTTATGTCTTCCTTTACGGACGCCTTTATCTTGTCCTCAGTGGACTTGAAGAAGGACTTATTACCCAGCCAGCAATTCGTGACAATAAGTCTCTTCAAGTTGCTCTTGCTTCTCAATCCTTTGTTCAAATTGGGTTTTTAATGGCCCTTCCTATGATGATGGAAATTGGCTTAGAAAGGGGCTTTCGCACTGCACTTAGTGAATTTATACTCATGCAATTGCAGTTGGCTCCTGTGTTCTTTACGTTTTCATTGGGAACTAAGACACATTATTATGGAAGGACACTCCTTCATGGTGGAGCAAAATATAGGCCCACAGGTCGTGGTTTTGTGGTGTTTCATGCTAGATTTGCTGATAATTATCGGTTCTACTCCCGTAGCCACTTTGTTAAGGGACTTGAGCTATTGATACTACTAGTAGTGTATCAAATTTTTGGAGAAGCTTATAGAGGAACTGTTGCATATATCTTAATAACCGTGTCTATTTGGTTCATGGTTGGAACATGGCTGTTTGCTCCATTCCTTTTCAATCCCTCAGGTTTTGAATGGCAAAAGATAGTTGATGATTGGACTGATTGGAACAAATGGATAAGCAACTCTGGAGGTATAGGTGTCACTCCGGAGAGAAGTTGGGAATCATGGTGGGAAGAGGAACAAGAGCATCTTCGCCATTCTGGATTGCGTGGCATCATCACTGAGATTATACTATCTTTACGATTCTTCATATATCAGTATGGTCTCGTCTATCACTTGAACATCACAAAACACAATCAAAGTTTTCTGGTATGTTGTACTTGTGCTGTCTTGCTTATTTCTACTATAAAATTGGTTCCGAGTATTTTATCTTGGTGCATTTAATTGCAGATTTATGGCGCATCATGGCTGGTTATCATTGTTATGCTTTTTGTAATGAAGGTGAGCCTTGGCCAAAATCCCACACCAAAAGAGTTTTGTTCAAAATAATGTAGCAAATAAGAAAAGAAGATATTGATTAAAAACGGAACCTTTAAATGCTGCTTTTTTTTTCCCTCTTTCTTCGTGGACTGCTCTTGACCGTGTATAACCATGGTTCTGGTTTTCCACAACTAATGTTTTTTTTTTTTTTTGGGTCGTTATTATTTATCACTTTCAGACTATTTCTGTTGGACGGAGAAAATTCAGTGCAAGTTTTCAACTTGTGTTTCGTCTCATCAAAGGGATGATATTTCTCACATTCATCTCGATCCTGGCAATTTTGATTGCACTACCTCACATGACTGTTCGGGACATTGTGGTGTGCATTCTTGCCTTCTTACCAACCGGTTGGGGTTTACTCCTGGTTAGTTATACTTTCACGTTATCTGTTTAATTTTAATACTTTATTATGAAATCAAGATTTCAGTCTTGTATCTGTTTCCCTTTCTTGTATTCTAGATTGCCCAAGCATGCAAACCCCTTGTGCAAAAGGCTGGATTCTGGGGATCCGTTCGAACACTTGCCCGTGGCTACGAGATAGTGATGGGATTACTTCTGTTCACTCCTGTTGCTTTTCTGGCCTGGTTTCCTTTCGTTTCTGAATTCCAGACTCGGATGCTGTTCAACCAAGCGTTTAGCCGAGGTCTCCAAATTTCGCGTATTCTGGGTGGGCACAGGAAAGATCGGAATCGAAACAAGGAGTGAGCTGGGCTCGCAGGCAAGCGCCATTGCAATTGTACTCTATTCTATCTATTCATGAGACTCTTGTTCATTCCCCCCAGTCTGAGGTGCCACTGTAATTATGTAACATTAGGCGCTGCAGTTTTTGTGTAGTCGAGATCGGTCGGTGCTTGTTGAAGAGTTACAATCACATTGATGGAGATTTTTTTTTTTTTAATGATTATTATTACAATTCCTTCACTGTTCCTCATTTTTTAACAACTTTTTTCCATTCTCCGGAGATTTATACCATTAAATTTAACCTTTCACTGTCTTTTGTGTTAGAGTAATGAGATTGTGGTGATTTGCACCTCCTTCACATAACTCCATATTCTTGTTAAAGTTTCAGCGGTTAAATTAGTTCATCATTCTACTCGTAATTTATTAGAACAACAATTGCTTCAACATTTAAAATTGATTTTCTATATGGGAAATGATGTTTTTACGCAAATTATGCCGTGCAACCGTGTGCACCATGGTTGCAAAAACGGCGTTCGACTTTAAAAATAAAAACAACACGTTCGACTTTAAAAAAAAAAAAAATAGTTTCGCGGAGCGGACACATTTCGCAGAGCCGACGGGGCTGGTTCTCCAGAACTACCAGATCGTGGCAGAGAATGCCCTGGAGGGGACGAAGACGCAGATTAAGTTGTACCTGGGAAGGCAGTGGAAGCCGTACTCAAGAATGGCGATAATGGAGTCCACGATCGGCGATTTCATCCATCCGGACGGGTGGATGCCGTGGACCCGAACCATAGGGCTTGATACTTGCTACGTCGAGGAGGGTGAATGTACCAAAATACCCCCCAACTTAACGCCTAATTGATGGAAAAGGTAACGGATGACCAAATTGGGGTAATTTTTTAAAGTCAAGGGACCACATTGGGTGCAATTAAAAGTCGGAATGCAAAATTGAGAATGAGCTATAGTCAAGGGACCAAAATGGGTGAAAACTCTTTTTCAGCAGAATTGTAAAATTGAAACAAATATGACCATCCTATTCTCACATATAGACAATCCATAACACTCATTTACAGAGACATAGAAAGCATAATCGGATAAATCAAATTTATAAAAACAAATAAAGAAATAAAATTTTTTAAAACACTAGTTTCCGCAAAGCTAGCATGTTTCTGGCAATGGGTTTTCGTCCCCACAGTCGAAAACAATCTCCGGTGGTCAAATCGAAGAAAAAAAATACTCAAAACATTAAAGAGGAGGAAAAAATACCTTAATAGAAAGATGGGTGAAGAAGCTGAAGAAGAAACCGTTGGAAAGGAGATAAAGAAGACAACTTCGCCTCTCTAGCGGTGTAACGAGAGACGAAAACATGAAAAATGACTTCCAAAAAAAGGTAATTATTTTCCTCAAAAACATAATCATTTTCTCATTAACCAAGACAATATTTTCCTTTAATCTTAATTTTTTCCCTCTTGCCAAATATAAAAACACAAAAAATAATTTTTCACATTTACAAACACATCATTAAGGGTGTGTTTGGAAACCCGAAAAATGATTTCTGGAAATCATTTTTCGGGTTTCTGGTGTTTGGCTAGGCAAGGAAAAGGGAAGTCAAAGGAAAATAACTCAAAGTCAATGGACAATCCCTCAACTTTTCTGGAAAATGACTTCCCTTTTTTTTTTTTTTTGGGAAGTCATTTTCTATCTGCAAGCTCCAACCTGCAATCTCCACGCCTCTATCTGCAAGCTCCAACTTCCATCAACATGAGAACAGGCTCCACCAAAAATTCCATCACCAGAAAAGCTTCACCAAAGACCTCTTCATCACTTATTTCCGCATCGGAAGCAAAGGCTCTGGTTTCCGATGCGGAAACCAAATCACTGGTTTTCACAGTCGAAAACCACTTTCGCAACTGGTTTCCAGCTACAGACGGAAACCAGTGATGAACTGGGAGATGCTTGTAATTTTTTTTATTTTATTTATTTATTTATTTATTTATTTTTGTATCTCTTAGTATTTTTTTTTTTTTTTTGATTTGTGAAATCAATTCTTCTGATTTGCATAGAAATGAAGGTGGTTGTTTTGGGTTCATGTGCTTATTTGTTTTGACTGAAATATTATTTTTCTGAATTGCAAGCAAGGAAGAAGAACACAGTAGAGTAGAAAATTTTGAGGAAGAAGAGCACAACAAAACATAAAATGAACTTATGAAATAATATAAAAAGTAAAAAATAATGAAAGAAATAAAAATAATTAAAATATACAATTCTAATCATTTTTCTATTCATTTTCTGGAAAATAAACTGAACATATAAAGACAATTTTATGTTGTGCAGTCAAACACTAAAAAAAAATGTTTTTTGAAAAATGACTCATTTTCCAGTCATTTTTCTGTTTTACAAACGCACCTTAAAGCAAAAATTCGCAAACCAAACGTGAGAATTCGACAAATGAGTAATTTCCTCCTTCGTGCCAAACGCGTTGTTTCTTTCTTATCCGTGTTATTCCAAGTTTACAATTACAATTTGAAATCAATTCTCTTCGGTTACCGGCTAAATTCGGTTCACCCGGTCATTGCCTTTACGCTCTGCCCCAAATTAAGCACGGAGTATTTCAAAACCCCTACTTGAGTATCTCGGTCTCTACCTCCGATCCGACCGTTTTCATAAACCCAGTTGATAGGGTTTCTCACTTTTAGATCATCACATCACATACATAAAAGTTGAAACTCAAATCCGGCGATATTCCGGCGGAATCTCCGATCCGGTGAGCTTCGATTTGTACTTACGTTGTCCATACCTGAATGTGTGTGCAAACCCTTTTAGATATCATATTTTAAGCTGCTCAAAACATTAGGCCGAAGAATTGGTGTTCTGTCATTTCAAATTTGAAGTGGAGGACTAGTTCAAGAATCTCTTCATTCTCTTATATGGGTTTTTTTCATGTAACGTAGGAGATGTCTCGGGTGGAGGATCTGTGGGAGCGTTTAGTGACTGCAGCACTTGGTGTGCAGCGGTCTGGTACGGATTCGTATGCTAGACCTGCGGGAGGAATTGCTGCAAATGTTCCATCGTCACTTGCAAATAACAGGGACATAGATGACATATTGCGGGCTGCAGATGAGATACAAGATGAAGATCCAAATGTCTCTAGAATCTGTAAGTGATTATTTTTACTTTATTGAGCTTTTATGAAAAGTTGTGCACGCACGAATTATAAAGAGATTTTACTGCAATTTTTTGGTTTTCCATTTTTATGATTTCATTTTTTGCAGTTTTCTCTTTCCATTAGAAGAACAAACATAACCATCTTATTTTCCCTGGCCAAAATACAATATTATTTGAAATCCAATTGTTTTTCTTTATTAACAATAATATCTGTGTGGGGCTGTGGGCTGTGTGTGTTGGGTTAGGTTGAAGATATGTGAAATTTATTTTGAATATTCAAAATGTTGATTATATTTATATCTTGATAAACCAATAACCTAATGGTTCACCCAAAATTCAAAACTTGATTCAGATTTCGAGTTTTAATTCGGATGATATGGATTACATATTTACATCTAATCCTAAGTGCTTATAAGTAGTTTATTGAGATAAGTAGAATACAAATAGAGTAGATAGATGGTGGTTGGTAAAGTAAGAAAAGAGGGTAGTGGTGGATATATAGATAGTAGGTACAATGAGAAGATAAGTAGATAGGTGTAATGGTGGGTAGGTAGGCGGGGTAGGAGTATATCGATAGGTGTAATGGACTAATGGTGGATAGGTAGGCTGGGTAAGGGTATATAGATAGGTGGGTGGGTATGTGGTAGGGGTATATAGATAAGTGAAGTGAAAGTTTGTAGGTAATGATAATGGTGTGATTATGTATGAAGTTATATGTATTTCTGTATTTGAAAAAAAATGGAAAACAATAAAAAAGTTATATACAAATTCCTTTGTTAAGTTGGACAACAGAAAACAGTGCTAAAAAACATGTCTTTTGATTTCATGGAAAATTTTCTAGTTACTAACCACATCCGTAGATTTTCAACTGAATGTCCAGTGTATGCAAGATGATATATACAAAACAGCCACACATTAGAGAGGCATCAAACAAGTTTAACGGACTACATTTTATATTGAGCAATTTTCACTTTTAGTGCTCAATTATAGTGGCATTGCCACATTTAGTCCTACTCTTTTAATTTTGCTTCATTACATCCTTGACATTCATTTGCTTGCTACATTTAGTCCTTTGTTTAAATTTCTATCACACCTCTTTAATAAGGAGTGCTAACATGTAATTTCATTATTCAATTACAAGAGTTTATAAGGGAGGGAGAGAAATTACATGTTGGGGAAAGAGACTTGAATGATGGAATTACATGTTAGCCATTTTTGTTAAATGTGGAATATCATAAATTTAAATGAGGACTAATTGTGCAAGCAAATGAATGTCAAGGGTGTAATGAGGCAAAATTAGAAGTGTAGGACTAAATGTGGCAATGCCACAATAGTCTAGGACTAAAAGTGGAATTTGCTCTTTTATATTTTATGTCTTAAATGAAGTTGGGGTATTCACACTTATATAATGATTTAAGGGGAATTTGGTCCTTTATGTTAGAGACATTACTTGCGGTTTCACCTCAACATTCAAAGCTTTCCCCTGGAAAGTTGTGCTCTTCTTTGAAAAATTCAAAGCTACTGATTGTTAGAATCTTATTGACACTGGGATAGGCTAGATGAAACATTTTTGTGGAGGAAAACCTACTCTGCCTCGGTCAAACTTTTTGAGCAATTCCATAATTCGCCATTTAAAAGGCTGGAGACTCATATTAGAAAAATGTATTGAATGGAATCAATTAGGCATTTAAGTACCATTTGGATACTGGTAAAAAGCGAATTAATATTGTGATTCTGTCATCACAATGCTATTTTCAATTTTCATTCAATCAGGCTTGCTTGGAAGTGGACATGTGGTTATGGAAAATTTCACTTGAAGAACCCAAATGTAGATGAAACTTACTGGGGAAATAAGTGGGTTCAAATGGTGGATCCACATGGTCCTTTTTATCTCTTTTAGTGTCTACCAGTGGAAAGTGAATTATATACTGGCAGTCACCTATGTAAGAATATCATTTCCAGTTGAGAAATGATAACCAAAGCTTCTTCCTTGATCTGTGGTGGGGGACTTTGCCATTAGATGACTTCCCTATTTTTGTTTGGCACACCTGAGGTGTGAAAAAAGAAAAGATAGCAATGCATGGAGATGTTTGATTAGATCTTTAGGAGGCTCAACCCTCTGTTCTTTGTTACATTTTGTTTACCCTGTTGTTAACGTAACTCCTAAGAAATCTTTTTGTTCATGGCCCAGAAAGGCATTAGAAACTACCTACAGGATGTACAGTTGTCATATTGAACAGTAGAATTATCTATATTTTCAGTGTCTAGTGTCAATTTTTTAATGGAATTCTATCACATAGCTGAAATTTCAACTCTTTAAATGCAGTATGTGAGCATGCTTACTCATTGGCTCAAAATCTGGATCCAAACAGTGAGGGGAGGGGAGTATTGCAGTTCAAGACTGGGTTGATGTCTGTAATTAAGGTATGTTTTGATGAGACAATGGACAATTTCTTTCCATACTGATGCATACTTTATTGGTAACACAAGAATTGGGTTCTCCATGCATTGCACAGTTATTTAGGTTATTAGGTACATTCTTATTTTCTAATAATAATAATGTCCATATGCTCCTTCTGTCCCTTTAAGTTTCTTCTTATCACTGGTTTAAGGAGTATTTCCACCAAATAGACCTGATTTAGTATGAATGCTTCTGCCTGTTCTGGACTGAGCAAAATTTGGATGATTTATTGAACATTTTTTTTTGCATGAAATATTGGTTTGTAATGGTACTCACCCTCATACTCTTTCAATCAATTGTTGCAGCAAAAACTAGCAAAAAGGGAAGGTGGAACTATTGACAGAAGCCGAGATGTTGCTCGCTTGTTAGAGTTCTATAGACTATATAGGGACCGGCATAATGTGGACAAACTTCGAGAAGAGGAATTAAAATTGAGAGAATCAAGTGTTTTCAGCGGTAACCTTGGAGAGTATGCTTCACATCAAGTTCTACTTTTTCTTCTTATTATTGGTTTTCTCAATGGGCTCTGCTGTGGGTGTATTGTTGGCATGTGAATTTCTTTTATTTCATTCCTAAATCATGGGCAATTTAACCTTAATATTTGAGCATCATTTATTTGAGATTGAACTAGAGAAAAATGCAACACACACACACACAGACATATATATATATATATAGGGTGAGGTTCCTATGAGAACCAACCCCAATCTCATCCATTAAAAAAACAGATCTATAGATGAGATTAATTGGGGAATTAAAAATGCGCGTGTGCATATGAAACATTGTGCTGTGTGCATATTAAGCATGTGTTGTGTGCAACATAGGGACATGCTTAATATGCACACTACATAATGCTCCATATGCACACGTGCGTTTTTAATCCCCCAATTAATCTCATTCATAGATCTGTTTTTTTAATGCACCAGATTGGTTCTCATGGACTCATGGGGAGGGTGGTTCTCATAGCAATATCACCCTATATATATAGGTTTCTTTATATTTACATAAAAAAATACTTTTTGGATGGAAAAAGGTCTTTTTAGAAATATCTAATACCTTTGTAGTCCATAGATATTATTTTTGCTGCCACTCATAATAATTCAAGTCATGCTGATAATTTTGAAACGTAACAATGTTACTATGGATTATTGTATGTACCAGATTTATATATTTAAGTATGGACCTGGGTAAAACAAAACAAAAACAGTTGCATCCTCCATTCATCCACCCATTTTAAGATTTCTCATTTCATTGACTTATTATATTTGTTTGTTTTTACTAATGCTTTGATTAGGCTGGAGCGAAAGACTGTTATGAGGAAAAGGGTTTTAGGAACCCTTAAGGTTCTAGGAACAGTCCTAGAACAGCTGAGTAAGGAGCTTTCACCTGAAGAAGCTGAAAGATTAATTCCAAGAGAGGTATGCAGACTTTATAATAACATCCCTAATTTCTCTTTCATAGGCTGTTCACCAGATTTTGCCATACATGTTTGTGTTGCTGCAATATTGTAATTACCTTTGAGTCTTTGACTTATATGGAATTTAGGAGCATTGTTATGATGTTGCCTTCTGGTTCAACGGTGACTAAAGTATCAGTATATTGCATTATCTCTCAAACTTTTAGTACTGTGTTATAACCTGTAAAACCTGCTGATTTTCCCAAATTCAACAAGGCCAGTTTGAAGACAGTGAATTGGAAGCCTATGAAGTTAGTTATACATAAAACAGCTAGTGGAGTTCTTCCTTGAATGTGATCTATTCTTTATCTGGTGCTGGCAGAAAGCGGTTACTAGGTTATTATTATTATTTTTAAAATTTCATCTTATTTTATAAATTTTTTCCCATTGATATTGGGAGGAATAGAGGATAAAAAAGTCTATTTTGATTAAGATATCAAATTCAAACAGGAAATGGTAAATGAGTGGGTAATTTCAGTATTTCATGTCTAGAAGTGGAGGACGTTGTCTTTTACATCTCATTAAGAAGGGCATTAGGACTTGTTGCTTACTGATAGAGTGATGGGTGAGATAAAGTCTATTTTGATTAAGATATCAAATCCAAACAGGAAATGGTAAATGAGTGGGTAATTTCAGTATTTCATGTCTAGAAGTGGAGGACGTTGTCTTTTACAGCTCCATCAGGGCTTGTTGCTTACTGATAGAGTGATGGGTGAGATAATGTAATGCAAAAAGAGGTCAGGGCAACAGCTGTTTGTAGATGGGATATGGGGTTTCAAAAAGCACTAGATAGCAGAATGTGGGGTTTCTCGTGATTCCAATCTCCCTTACAACATGGCAAATAATATACTAATGGACAGCCAATCAAGAAAAAAGTTACAGCTATAGATAATTTAAATTGCAGGTATTGCGAAAAGAAGGAAAAGAATATAAAATTTCTGGATTTCAAAGGCATCAACTTCATCTTATCCTGTATATAATGATGGGTCTTAATACCACCCTTATCAAACCTGCTACCAAGAGATATATCGCTTCTATGTTTAAATGGTGTCCTTGACTATGTATAATGCTGTTACTTGGTTAGACTGCAAGCTAGAACATTTTAAGATTTTACTGTTCGAATACTCCTTTTGTTGTTTGAGCTATTGGTACTGTTTAGTTTGATCCATTGTTCAGATTCAGGGAGCTTAATTTAGACTACTTAATGATTCCCATATGAATGAGCTTATGCATAAACATGAATGTGTGTAGTTTTTCTTTTTTAGTAATGTCTAATCGTTGTTTGATTACTGAAACTCAGTTTTCTCCTAATTGCACTTTGTTCAGCTGAAAGTCATGATGGAATCGGATGCAGCTATGACAGAGGATTTAACTTATAATATTATTCCTCTTGATGCCACTACAACGACAAATTTTATTGTTTCTTTCTCTGAGGTTGGACATATTGGGTTGTTCTATTTCTATTTTCTATTTTCTATTTTATGTCTTATCAGTTTTCATTTTCTTGCTACTTGGATGAGTTTTGATTGATTTGATTGTATTGTAGGTTCGTGCTTCAGCTTCAGCTTTAAAGTACTTCCATGGGCTGCCAAATTTGCCTGGAACTTTTTCCATACCTACAACAAGGAGTGCAGATATATTTGATTTTCTTCATTTTACATTTGGATTTCAGGTTTATTCATCATTTCTCTATTCTCCCTCTTGCTTTCTAGGGCCTTTTTGGGTCCTCATAATTTGTTCATGATCTACAGTTGAATTTGTCCCGGTAATCCAAATCAACCAAACAGATATCTTTTTTTATGCACAGTTATATATGGAGTTTAAAATACTACTTTCTAACCACTTTCAGTTGGCATAGATATTTTTTGATATTGCATTTCTATTTTAAATAAAGATTGATCTTCACAATGCTTATGATGGCCTTGATTGGAATTTTATGGAGATGAAATTTTGGGTTTTGGGTTCCTGGATTTGACTTTCACTCCTTTGGGATGGGGAACAATTGCCAGAATTTGAACCTAAATGAGGATTCCATACAGTGTACCCTCACTCCCTCTACTTTTATATTCTTAATATTACTATAGAAATTGTTCTTGAGGATGCAGGACCAAGTGAGAAGGAAAAGGTGGAAACCAATCATAGTGTTTGTAGAGGATAGGAATATCCCTTCCTATTCTTTGCAGGTGATCTGATGCTATTCTCTAAAGCTATTGAGGACTAGATACACATCATGAACTGCTTGGGGGTGTTTGCCAGCCCTTCTAGGTTTGAGATAAATATTGGGGAATAAATTTTTTTAATCACCTAACTAAAATGGTGGTGTCAAACATAACTTCACCACTAGCCGTGAAACTCTGGGCAAGTAATTGGGCAGCCAGTCCTTCATGGTTGATATACCAAGGCAACATATAATTTTACCTTTAGGGTCTGTTTGGAAAGCAGGAAAATGACTTCTGGAATATGTTTTCTGGAAAATGAGTCATTTTCTAGAAAACATTTTCCTTTCCAGTGTTTGGTTGCATTTTGGAAAACTTGGTGTGTTTAGTTTATTTTCTGGAAAAATGAGTAGAATTGTATGTTTAAACATTTTGGCGGAAAATGACTTCCCTCAAATTTTGGCGGAAGTCATTTTCCGCCAAAATGGCTTCATTTTCCCTAGTCAACGGAAAATGTTTTCCGTTGACTGGATTTTCCTGTTGCATCCAAACACTGAAAACTCGAAAAACATTTTCCAGAATTCATTTTCCGGGTTTCCAAACGGACCCTTAAATGAATGTAGAAACAGTTATCAAGTTGGAAGGAAGAGAACCTTAGCATGGTGGGAAGACATTACTATTTAGCCCTCTATTGCATCCATGCCACTTTACACCACGCAAAGTTTGATACTTCCCTTTGGAGAATGAGATTTCTAGCTAGGGATGTAGTTGAAGTCATACTTTTCAACCATTGGGAAGAAAAACTAGTAGCTGGGGTACTGTTAGCCTCAAGGGAATTTCAACTCAACATGGATGGATGGCCAATGAAGAGTGGTATGAATGGTCTAATGCAGGCTGTCTTATAAGGGACTTATGACTTATCATGTCATTTGGGTGGAACTCTGGGCCTAAAGGCCTCTTAATTGCTAAAAAGTGAAGATTAGATGAAGGTTGCATTCAGCTTGTGACTTGAGCATGGTCTTGGCCTCACAAAGGTGACATAACTTGTACAGGAGGCAAGAAAAGAAGGTTATTGCTGAAGGATAGGTGATGCGGGCCCCAACACATACTTCATTAGGGAAATGAATGTGCTGATTATCTACCCAACCTAGGATAGGATGGAATAAGGCATGGTGGTGGTGATGAAGGAAAAAAGAATCATATAGTAGGCTATGATGGTAGCAATGAGGTTTCATGCATTTTCTTAGGTTTCTTCTACCAAAGTGGTTAAGTGTTATATTTTTCAAATAATCTTAACTGATATGTTTTGTGAGTAGAGATGTATTGCTTGTAGATTTGATTGACTCATTTTGTCCATAATACATGTGCTTTCTGCTTGTGTTGTACACTTGCACTTTCTTCTTTCTAGTTTCCAACAAAAAAATCTTCTTTCTTTCTTTTCTTGCCCCTCTGAGTAATTCCTTATTTAATTTGATGAGTTTAATTGATTGCTTTGCAGAAAGACAATGTATCTAATCAGCGTGAACATATTGTTCATCTTCTTGCTAATGAGCAAAGTCGGTTTCGAATACCTGATGAACCTGAACCGGTGAGTCTTATTTTGTCATATCATATCATATCCTGTAATATAAATCCAATTCAACATGAAATTGATCATAATTCTTGGGGTATTGAATGTTCATTGTTGTTTTCCTTTGATATGTGATAAAAATCTTCTTTTTCTTTCAATTTTTTTTTTTCCTTGGTAAAACTATGCCTATAACATTTTTTCTTTTCTGCTATTCCCTATGACCTTATCTTTTCCTTATTCCTGATATTTCTTCTATAGCAACTTAGAGTCAATTCTAATTATTTATTCTCTTTCTAACTTCACTTGGTTGGTGATGCCTATAAGTAGGTGAAATTTCAGTGGGGTTTTGGTAGAAGCAACCAAGTGCCATCCCTTACAGTTCTCAACCTGAGAACAGTTCCCTGCCCTCTGATGGGTAAAATAAAGTCCAGCATTAGAATACTTCTGAAGGGTTGTTTGCTCCAAAAGACAGTTTTGGGATTCATTTTTCCTAGAGAATGCTTCCCATGGGTGAAGAAATGCCTTTAGGGATTACTGGATGGGCCCCATGGACTAAGAATTTGTAATAAACATTGGATTAGGGGGATTGAAAATGTATCAATCCCCCTATTCCACTGTACCAAATGGCCCCATTGTAGAGGATTTCTAATGTTGATCAGAAACAGTATCTTTTGGTTGTAGGCTAATACCCAATCTACCTCATTCAGTCATTCTTAAGTTGCTGGTAGACTGGTTCCTACTGAAGGATACACCAAATAATCTGTTCTAGATCAGAGGCATATATTGTTGGAACATGTAGGAAGTATGCTTATTTTAATGTATCTCATGATTTTTCTATAGATTTTAGATGAGGCTGCAGTCCACAAGGTATTTTTGAAGTCCTTAGACAACTACATTAAGTGGTGCAACTATCTGGGTATCTTGCCTGTGTGGAGCAAGTAAGTAACTTGATTTTAACATTTTTAAGAGAGGACCTGAAATTCTTACCTGTTATATTTAGTTGCAACATGGACTTGTTTAAACTGGAATCCTGGACTAGTATCAAATGTTCTTCCAATCTATGCAGTCTTGATGTTGTCAGCAAGGAGAAGAAATTGCTATTCATTTCTTTGTATTTCTTGATATGGGGTGAAGCTGCCAATGCTCGTTTTCTTCCAGAATGCTTGTGCTACATATTTCATCATGTAGGTGAAATTTATTGAATATTTTGATAATTTGATGGTATTGCATGTTATTTAGATCAGTGCTTGTCTTTTACTTGAAGATATTATCCTTCCCCCCCCCCCCCCCCCCCCCCCCCTCTCTCTTTTTTTATTTTTTATTTTATTTTTTATTTTATGTTCCCTTAAATTTCAAGTGTCACAACAATCATAATGCTTGTTACCATCCTTTCCATTATTAATGTTGAATTAAACATCTTTTCTGTACTGAAGGGTTTGTTTAATTAAGGAGAAATATGCATTTTTGCAACTGGGTAAAATTATCTTCCAACTTCAGCATCTCCCTTTTGGTTTTGCTTTAGCTTTGGTATATACTGTACTAGTATTTACTTCTGCTACCAACCTTTCTATCTTGCTTTTCCTGACCAATCACATAAACTGTTACCTTCTCAAGTTTGTATTCAATTTTTGGAATGATCTGTTTCAAAATCAGATGGGACGAGAAATGGAGGAGATAATGAGACAGCAAGTTGCAATGCCAGCAAATAGCTGTGTAGCTGAAAGTGGCGTTTCGTTTCTTGATCAAGTTATACGTCCACTTTATGAGGTTCTTGCTGCGGTATGTCCAGAATAAGATTTCTGTTTTCTTGTGTATATTCTGGTATTTGTGTACTTGTTGCATTGTTTAAGCATTTTTTCACAAAAAAAGAGAAATATGATGTGTGATTCCTTGTATTGGTATTGTTTTACATTTAATGACCATTTTCATTTGCAGAAGAGTGACTAGGGATAATTAATTGGCATATTATAGGGATATATATGTTTTATATTTTGGTTGATGTTTCATGAACATTATTATTACTGTTATCTGCAAACAAGTTCTTACTTGTTGCGAACTAAGGTAGAAATAAGATTTAAGATAACATGTTCATTTTTTCTGATGTTAAGCTTATACATGTACACCTATATACAGTGAAGTTAGCTTTTGGACTTTGCTATCGAGTTGAATAGGAATCCTAACTAGATGGTAGGATGTTTCCTGTCTAAGTCTTCAGATGCAAGTCATGCAACATACATACATGAGATACATCAACATTAATGAGAATTGGTTATTTGAATTGGCATATTAGATTCACACCCCTGACCCCTGTTCTCTTTAATAAGAAAACTTATACTCCTGAGCTTTATATAATGAGAAACCTTATGCACACTCCTAATCTTTATAATAAGATGAAGGCCGTGGTTGCTTGCAAGGTTTAAAAAGGCGTGCCTCGGTATGCCGCAAGGCGAGGCGCACGTGTTAAGCTTGGAGGCGTACGCCTCTTACTCAAGGTAAGAGGCGTACGCCTCAGGGCGTGCCTGAGGCTTTATTTGAGGCGTTTTGGCCCTTTTTTAATTTCAGAGCCCATATTTAGTTTTTTAAGCCCAAAATAAAAAGACCCAACCCATTAAAAATTATTCCCAACCCTAGTTTGACTAAACATAGGAAATAGAAGTCTGAAATGAAAAGAACGAAACAAAAAATCAAAATACGAAGTCTTCGTTGCTAGCCTTCTACTGTCGCGATTTGCGAGTGTGCCACACTGTGACGCGACCTCTTTCTCCAGCGAGCTCCCCCTCCGGCGACCTCCCCCTTATGCATTTGTTTACTTTAGACTTATATTATGTTTGATGATTTGTGGTGTGTTTCTTTGAGACTTTTAGCTAATGAATTTTAATCTTATATTTTGGTAAATTTTATGAATGATGTTTACATGCTTACAGCTTACTAATATATTCTGATGCTAAAATTTGAGGCTTACGCCTCAAGGCACGCCTTTGCCTTTTAAAACCTTGGTTGCTTGCACTGGAACAGTCTATGATAGGATTTGGATTAGCATTAGGTTGGGGGATAAAGTGAATCCTATCTTGGGTATGTGAATATTTCGTACTATGGGACAATGAAATTGCTCTGTTAAGTAACCATGGGAAAAGGGCATAGGATATATTTGTTTGTGATAGCCATGATTACTTGCATTGGAATAAGATATGATTGGATTCGGATTAATATTAGATTCATGGAGAATAAAATAATCCTATTTTGGCTATTTGATCATTTAATAATACCATTGGAAAAAGGACATAGGATGCTTTCATGAGAGCATACTAAATTACTTTTACATAACCTTGTCATGATAGGCTAGACATACTGACCTGCTAGTGATAGGAAGTAGCCAAATGAGGCACTTCTCTTAATTTGTGTTAAGAGAGTAATATGGAATGCTTGTTGTACAGAATACGAGCTTCTTTTTTTATCCCTTCAGGGGGAAGGATGACAGATATCTTGCAGCTGGTTAACTAATATTATGTTTGCAGGAAGCAGGAAACAATGAAAATGGGCGAGCACCTCATTCTGCTTGGAGAAATTATGATGATTTCAATGAATACTTCTGGTAAGGTCTACTTTGAGATTATACGACGTGGATTTCCTTATCGTAAATAAAATAAAATAACTCATGGATTTCTTATTTCTTAGCCGAGTCTTTTTATTTCAATTTTTTTTTATAGGTCACTTAATTGCTTTGAACTTAGTTGGCCATGGAGGAAAAGTTCACCCTTCTTTCTGAAACCAACACCAAGATCAAAGGTTTGCACCAATCTTATGACTTATCTTGGGCATATATTGCTTGTGAATTTACTTTATATTAATTATAAAAAGAATTTGGATTGTCACTAGGGAAGATTCAGAAATGTTATAATACAGATATGGCAACAACTTATGATTTGAAAGAGTATAGTTCTTAAGAAAGGGGAACTCTATAGATGTTAAAATGGATCATGGTGCTCTTTGGAGAAGCTCCTGATTGTGGAAGCCTAAGTCATATATAGAAACACCAAAATAAGCACAACACCTGATGTATGTGCTTAACTAATTTCATTCAATATACGGAGTAAATTTAATTTATGAGTTAATACCCAAAATGGTCCTCGACTATGATGGTTTTTCTCAATTTCGTCCTAAACGACTTTTGGGACCCAATGTAGTCTCAGACTTTTGTGTTTTTGCTCAATGTAGTCCTCCGTTTTTAATTATGTCCAATTGGTGTCAAATAGAGCGACAATTTGGTAATTGCAATATTTGCCTCTCATTTACCCTCTTTCATTTACGATCTCAATGCTCAGCTTGGATTGATTAGGGTAGAAATTCGACTTTAGGTTTAGGGATTTCCAGGTAGTAATTGATTAGGGATTTTAGGGTTGTTGATCGTAAATGAGAAGCAAATATTGCAATTACCAAATTGTCCATCTATTTAACACCAATTAGACGGAATAACAAACGGAGGACTACATTGAACAAAAACACAAAAATCTGGGGCTACATTAGGTCACAAAAGTCGTTTAGGATGAAATCGAGAAAACCACCATAGTTGAGGGGACCATTTTGGGCATTAACTCTTTAATTTATCTATACATGGTAGAATAAAAATGAGCCAAATAAATTTGAACCAGAAAAATCCAGCTTTATGCTTAGTTACATGTACATAATTCTACAGCCATTTGGGAACTTCAGTATGCTAAGCTTCATTTTAGTAAACATCCACCCTCACTGTGTTACACATAGTTTTCAAGTATGGAAAATGCACTTTTGAGTTTTGTCCCTCAATTATTACCAAATTCACAATTTTGTCCACTTATAACTGACATGTCCTAATATAGTCCCAAACTTTCAAAATTGGTGGCGGAAGCTATTCTTTTTTTTTTTTTTTAGGTCCCTTACCCTTAGTGATCGGGGAATTAAAAAATCAGGTGATGTGAATTTACACAGAATGAAATTGTGAATTTGCTAATAATTGAGGGACCAAAAATGCAGTTTTCCCTTTCACATATTAAATTTCATAGCAGAATCTCAAAGAGTACCCCTCCCCTCACCAAATGCGATCACTTTGGACCTTTTTCTTGGATTAAGCATAACATTTCTGTTTTGAGATTCTGTATTCATCTTTTGTTGGCAGTGCCATGTATGGTCTTGTAGGATTGGGTTTACATTGCCTTCAAGAATTTAGTTAAATTATTCCTATTTCTTAATCAACAATGAACGCAAAGATTAAAATTCTGTGGTATGACTCACATGTTTTGTCAAAGTTTTTACTTTGTTGCACAATTCTATATTTGTGTGCGTGCGCAATTGTTTTTGTTTTTGTTTTGTTTGTTTGGTATTGTTTTTTTTGTTTTGTTTTTGTTTTTGTTTTTTTCTTTTTTTTCCCTTTTCATGACTCTTTATTCCCAAACTTGTGCTATTGTTATAGAATTTTCTTAAATCTACTGGAAGCAGCAAACGGCAGGGGAAGACTTCTTTTGTTGAGCACCGAACTTTCTTGCATCTTTACCATAGCTTTCATCGCCTATGGATATTTCTTGTGATGATGTTTCAGGTTTGTAAATCATAACATTTCAGTTGTTTGCTTTCATTTCCATTAATTTCTGCAAAACACCCCTCCCCCCCCCCCCAACCCCCCCACCCCCTCTTTTTTTTTTAATCGTTTCAAAATCTCTCATTATGTATAACTAACCTCTAGGGGGCGTTTGGTTCACGGAATGTTAGATTACCTTAAGGAATGTTAGATTGATGTGTTTGGTTTAAAACTGAGGTATCTAATATAATCATGTTTGGTTGAATAGTTGTTTTTTATTATTTATTTATTTTTGTTATGAATTATGATGGTTATTTTACTTTTAACACTGTTAATATTTTTATGTATTTCAAATTTTCAATAAATTTCAATATTAAAATAAATAAATAAGGCAATGGTAAAATAGAGAAGTAAATGATTTAAAATTACTGAACCAAGAGCTTGAGCTTGAGAAACATTGTATATCTTGAGGGGAGAGAAAAACCAATGAATTAAAATGACAAAATTAGTAATAAGACAAGGGAATGTGAGAATACCTAAGAAAAGGGAAGGTATCTCGCATTCCCTTCAAATAGCTAAAAACCTTATGTGGAGGTTATGTTACATTCCCTGGGGAGATTACATAACTTGAACCAAACATGAGGATCTTATATTCCCAAGTAAATATAACATTGGTTTTTTTATATAACGTGAACCAAACACCCCCTTAGATTAATAAGTTTTATTACTGTTGTTGCTGCTATTATTATTTTTTGATTGGGGAGAGAGGGGTTGGGTGAGATGTTCACGGGATCTTACAGTGGCTTGATTATTTCTCTACCTTCTGGACTTTTCTTTCTCTAGTGTAGATTGCATCAAGGAATGTATTGGCAATGCCACATACCAGAGTCCACTCCCTTTTCTTATGAGCATATTTTCTTACTGCTTTGCTTTTCTGCAGGGACTTACTATAATTGCTTTCAATAATGGGGAGTTTAACTCTAAGACCTTACGGGAAGTTCTGAGTCTTGGACCTACTTACTTTGTGATGAAATTTTTGGAAAGTATGTATCTTTTGACATTTCAAGCTCATTCTATTGTATTGTATGACAAGAGCAACTTATTACTCTATGTTCTTGCCGTTGATATATATAAATGATAGTTGATTAGTGAAGCCAACATTTTAACTGTTTGTGGTTACTAAGTTAACCTTTGTCTGTTTGCATAGGTGTATTGGATGTTATTATGATGTATGGAGCATATTCTACATCAAGACGCCTAGCTGTTAGCCGAATATTTCTTCGTTTTCTTTGGTTCAGCGCAGCTTCAGTATTGATTTGTTTCCTTTATGTGTATGTTTTACTTGTTCTGAGTTATGTTTGTGATACTCTTTTTGGCCTTCTGTTTTTTTACTTCCATTGTGGTTGATTAGTTTTATTCTATTTGCTCTACTAACATCTTTATGTGCATTAACTTCTTTTTCAGGAAAGGCCTTGTGGAGAAAACCAAGCCAAATGCAGATTCATTTCTCTTCAAAATTTATGTCATTGTTCTTGCCACATATGCTGGTGTGCACTTCTTTATTGGCTTCCTGCTTAGAATACCAGCCTGTCATCAGTTGACAAATAAATGTGATCAGTGGCCCCTTATCCGGTTTATCAAATGGATGCACCAGGTTGCCTTTTTTGTTTTAGGTTTATAGGAGGACCAGTAATTTTTTTTATTTGTTTTTCTATATAAAATCAATTAATATCTTTAACATTTTTGCTTTAAGGAACATTACTATGTTGGCCGCGGCATGTATGAGAGAACTTCTAGCTTCATCAAGTAATCTCTTTGTCTTGCATATGAATTCCCAGCAGATTGTTGTCTCACTATTTTTAGTGTTGCCTTGTGCTACCATGTACCAATGTGCTTTTAGTTAATGATGCCTTTTCATTCTTTGACCTGCTGGCTTTACCTGACCCTCTATACTCTTAAGTCTTAACCAGAGGAGAAAAACCAAATTAAAGAAGTGAAGAAGGTAATAAAGCTTTAAGAGAAAAAAGGATCTAATTTGATGTTAAAACGTGTCTTTGGTTTCCTGAGTTAATGACTTTACGTTTTACCATATTTAAGAAGTGAAGAATGTAATAAAAACTTTAAGTATAATGAGTTTTACTGATTTAAAACTAACACTTAGGTAGATGGTGGAGACTACAGTTTTCCAGAACTGCTTTTATGGTCTTTGTTGGGGAATCTATTGTTTTGTTTGAATAATTTGATGTTCATTGGATGCTCAATTTGATATATTGAAGGTGAATGCTCACCCAGGGAAATTAAAATTAAACTCTGATTCTTTTTTAATGTTCAGTGAAAAGGAATAGTCTGATTTATTCTCAATTCATTTTGCATATCCTAGTGCCAATGACACATTGCCAATTGGGACTACAGTGCAGTGATTGTATTGTGTAATTTCTATATGTATTCAACTATTGTCTTTGCTCATGTATTTTCAGTTCCATAGTTGCCTGCAATTACATAATTTGTTACTCCGTATTTCACTTGCCATTTTTTATTGAAACTTTGCGTTCAAGGCTAGAATACTTAAAGAATTTTTTAATAAGCAAAGGATCATTAGTAGGCGCCAATGTTTGAAAATTTTTGTACTGTAATCTTGGATATTACTATATTAGCGTATTACCATTGGATACATGGGTAAATTAGTAACTATCAGCATGCTGAATATCTTACAACATAAACTCTATGGTGCAGATATTTGGTCTTTTGGCTTGTTGTTTTGGGAGGCAAATTTAGTTTTGCATATTTTCTACTAGTAAGTGTCAAATTTTCATTTCAGTCATGCTTTAATGGTGGTAAGTTTATCTCACATTACATTTCATTTTGATTTTTCAGATTAAGCCCTTGGTGGATCCCACAACGTTCGTCGTGGAAATGGATATCCAGGAATACTCTTGGCATGATTTTGTTTCTAAAAGTAAGATGCTCCCTCTGTCCAAATTTATTGGCCTATTTATGGTAGATACAGATTTTAAAGACAGTGAAGAAAAATATCTATCGTTCCACTTTTGCCCATAAAAATTAGACAACTTTATGTCTTTCTAAATTTTCTTAGAAAGGCAATGTAGGAAAATAGAATTATTTATGGTGTTTATTTTAGGAAAGTGGATAACTTTTTGGGATGGACATAATAGGAAATGTGGACAGCGAATAACAGAGGAGTAATGTTTTTTGTTTTTGTTTTTGTTTTTTTGTTTTTGTTTTTGTTTTTTTTTTTAAAAATTATTTTTTTATAACTTTAATAATTTAAGTTGAGTGTAGTTCCATGGCAGAATTAGCTATTTAATTGCAATTTGAAACATCTATTTAGTTCCATGCAAGACTTTATCTATTTTTTGTGTGTTGACTTGTTTTTTTACCCAATATTTGAAGTGCCTATAATTTGTGAATGGTATGATTCTATGAAGATTAAGTGTTGGGTTTTACCAATTCTTCATGTCATCAGTGTTTGTACTTCTGGTGTCCTCTATTCGTGATCTCTAGGAATAGAGTTGTTTTCAACTGTGTCTGGGGTTAAGCATCTTATCCGGGTGTTGTTTTTTTGGGGTGAAAGCTTGGTTCAACTTGGCTTTTGAAATGATTTCTATTCTTGTTGGATTTTGAAGTTGCTTTAAACATATCTATTTCCTTTTCAGGATTCTTGTAATAGGCTTCAACCTTAAATTCATAAAAGCTTACTAATTTCATTGGCAGATAATCATAATGCACTGACTGTTGCAAGCTTCTGGGTTCCCGTGTTTATAGTAAGTATTTATTTATTGTTTTAATTTAAATGATTTTCTTGCTTTTTATCATGCCTTAGTTTGATATCAACTGAAAGCCTATGTTGTAGTCTTTGTTTTTGTTTTTGCACAAAGTGGTTTGAAGATATAGTAATGTCTATGGCTAATGTCATTTCGATGCTTAGGTATTCATCATTCACATATGTAGATAGAAGTGGTCTTGCCTATGACAACTTAAAATCACATAAGTTATCTTCATCTCTTGAAGTATGTCTGGCCTGAAAAGGCCAATGCCAAAAGATTTTGGGAAAATTCTTTACACTGTTGCAGGGAAAAATGTGCGGTTAGTTTATTAGGTGAAATGCTAGAGAAACCTGGTTTCAGAAATGTTTTTAGCATCATTATTTGAGGGATAAGGGTCAAATAAGCCCTCAAACTATAGGAGATAGTGCAATTGAATATCTGAATATTTTAAAGCTCCAATTAAACCCTCAAACTCTCTATGAAAGTGCAGTTAACACTTTTTTATAGGTTACCATCAAGTTACCGGTTAACTAGCTGACTTTACAAGCTAACATGGCTTCTAAATGTATTTTAAAAGCTGATGTATTAAATAACAATAGTTATAATAATACAAAAATAAATAATAATAGTAATAATAATTTAAAATCTTCTTGTTTGAAGAAGAACGGAGAATTAAAATGCCCTTCATCCAAAGCTGTTTTTTTTTCTGGGACAAAGAACGGCTGCCATGGCAGCCAAAGAGCTAATATTAATTAAAAAAAAATGCTCTCCATCCCAATCTTCCAGATTTAGATGGAGAAGAACACTTCTCCATTGGATCTGAACAGAGAAGAAGCTTCTTCATCTTCTTCTTTGTCCTGATCTGAAGTAGATATCAGATGAAGATGAAGAGTCACCATCCAATCTGGATGGAGAAGAGCTTCATTTCCTTAAGCTGTCTGGCCAGAAGTGACGGAAATTTGCCTACCCCTGATTTGGACAAAGAAGACGAAGTTCTCCGGTCAAAAAAAAATACAATCAATCCCAAGTACCATTACGATCCAGAGCATTCATCTCTTCAGTCATGGCATCTCGCCACCCAGGGTGGGACAAAGCTTCTTTAACAATTTTTGGAACAAAAATAGAATCAAGAGAAGCCATGAAAGAACAAGAGGCCAGTGACACGCGGCCATATGACACAAAGGAAGACATGGGATAAGTACAACTGCGTTTACCTTTTCGGAGATCAATTGGACGGTCATCGTCCAAGACTGGATCTAATGACGAAGAGGTGGCTTCAGGGCATTGTGCTGGCACCGAGTCAGGAGGAGTAACAGGAGCTGAACCCGGAACAAGTGCATTATGATGAGGTCGACGAGAATATACCTGTAAGACGGGAGGGGTAGGAACATAGGATGTCACCGTATACATCAAAATGTCATACTCCTCCCCCTGACAGATAGCATCTGGAGATGAAGGGAAGAAAGGAATGCTCTCATGAAAAGTCACATCAATGGATACAATGTACCTACCATGCTCAGGAGAGTAACATCTGTACCCCTTTTGCACACGAGAATAACCAAGAAAGATACACTTTAAAGACTTAAGGATCTAACTTGGTAATATTGGGACGAACATCCCTAACAAAACATACACAACCAAATATATGTGGGTCAATATGGAACAAAGGCTTTGGTGGATAGAGGAAATTGAATGGAGGGCATGCGATTGATTAAGAAATATGCTGTGGAAACAACATCAGCCCAAAACTGCTTGGGAACCCCCCTCTGAAATAGCGAGGCTCTCGCAGTCTCGAGCAGATGCCTATTTTTGCACTTAGCCTCCCCATTTTGGGATGGTGTGTCGACACAAGATGACTGATGTAGCATACCCTTCTGAAGCATATAAGAGGCAAAGGGGAATGAAAAATATTCCTTAGCATTATCATTGCGTAAGATTTTAACGGGCACCCCAAATTGGGTTTCAATTTCAGCACAAAACCCAAGAAACAAACCAAGCAATTTAGAACGACTCTTCATCAAATATAACCACGTCATATGAGAAAAATCATCAACGAATGTAACAAAATACTTAAGCCGAGGTTTAGAGGTCATAGAACACGGTCCCCATACATCAGAATGTACTAACTCAAAAGGAGTAGTCGCATGTTTGTGGACTCTAGGACTCAAATGCACGCGATGGTGCTTAGAAAACTCACATGACTCACGAGGTAAAGAAGACAAACTCTGAAATTGAGGACACAATGTCTTTAACAATGGAAGGGATGGATGACCCAAACGACAATGAGTATCAAAAGGGGTGACAACACTGGAACAAGTCGCAGGCTCCAGCCTCGTGGTGTCAAGAATGTAAAGACCCCCAAACACGTGCCCCTTACCAATAACCCTCTTTGTCGTAAGATCCTGTAACAAACAATGGTCAGGAAAGAATGTAACACAACAATTTAAAGAACGAAAAGTTAGGCAAGCTCAAGATAGATGACAAGGGGAGCGAGGGGACATGCAAAGTGGTACCAGACCCAAGTACATGGGTGGTGGATCCATTTGCTAAGGTGACATGAGGACTATGTGTATTGGGAGAAAATGTGGAAAATAGATTAGAGTTACTTGTCATATGATCTGTGGCTCCTGAGTCTATGATCCATTTGGAAGAGGATGAGAGAAGGCAAGAAGTTGTGTTACCTGAGTTAGCAATAGCAGTGACCGAAGATGATGAATGCTTTAGAGAGGCTCGGTACCGAGAAAGCTCAGTGTTAAATGATGTAAAAGAACGAAAGGATTCATTTCATTTCAGTCTAGAACAGTACAGGTACGAACTATTTATATAGGAATAAGCTATAACCTAATGGGCCCATTCCTAACAAGCCTAGGGTTTCAACACTCAGCAAACTCATCAGCGGAGATTAGGACCTACTTAGCAAATATATGAGATTGATATTCAGCCATACCCCAAAAAGAAAAAATCACAACGCACACAAAATAGGAACCTGAAGGTGTACAATACAGCTTGACTGTAGAGCAATAATCACGGGAGCCAGAATGGTCCAGTACCGAGAAGAGGGGACTCAGGAACTGCCGACCGAAAACTTTTCCGGTCACCGGAGACGCTGCACACGCCGGCGGCGCATGACTGCATGAGCCTCATGAGCTGTCCAGAACAGCGTCGAAACTTCCAGATCCAGTCGCAGGCTCCTCCCTTGGGGGGCGGTGATGTCAGCGGAGCGAAATTTTATTATTATTTTTTATTTTTTTATTGTAATGGCTCAGATACCATGTTACGAAAGAGAAGAATTCTGAATATCCTGTACATCCTTCAAGGAGAATACATAACACAGCCCTATATATACATTCTAGAAGATACCAAACAAGGAAACAAGTTTCCAAACGACTACCTACTCCAAACCCTAAATCTCCAGGCTGCCTAATATATATATAGATACCATATCATGGTCCAAGAAATGCCATGTATACAGTTTTTCACCGAATATAAGTTTGAATTAGACAATTCTAAACCATGTCAATCTGTCTTGTATGTGTTTTTTGTATGGGTATATCTCTGTGTTATTGCTGTGTATTCTTATAATGTCTAATTTATGTCTTTGGATTAATGCATCTCACCATGTTATGATGTTAACAATCATTTGCTCTCAATGGCTCAATCAGTTGCATTTGTGTAATGAGGTGAGGTGTAAATAACTAAGACTGGTTAAACAAGAGGTGTCATTTCTATCACTTGGACCCTTAAGTCCTTAACTAGACATGCTGAAAGAGAGTTTTTCTGCTGTGCCCATTATAATGGCAGCATTTATTTTATAACTGGATTTTTTATAAGTGAAATAGTAATCAAGGTATGGGTGACCAATGACCATTGCTTTGGTATGAAGCTCTATAATTTTAGTAGTCTGTGATTCTTTATTTCATGTCCTGTCATTTTCTTATGGGCTCCTTTCATCTTTTTTTTATGCAGATTTACCTGGTAGATACTCATATATTTTATACTGTTATATCTTCTATTTGGGGTTTCCTGCTGGGTGCAAAAGATCGTCTTGGGGAGGCAAGTATTTTATTGATAAATTTATTTTGATACGGATAATGATTGTAGTGTTTATTAGTCAGTATCCTTATTTCTTTGTCTTCAGTAATCATTATTGAAATTTTGATCTTCAGATTAGATCTTTGGATGCTATTCAAAAGCGTTTTGAGAGATTTCCTGCTGCTTTTATGGATACTCTTCATGTGCCTCTTGACAAAAGGTGTTTCCATCCTCTTATTTTCCTGCTGTTTGTTAGTTGATCCTCCAACCAATTTACTTCTGTATGTTTGCTGTATCTAAATCTAAATTCTATTTTGTAGGGCATCCATGCTGGGTGATGGTTTGGTGAGTTATTTTTATTTCATTTCTGTCTTGTTTTATGTGATATTTTTGTTAATGTGTTAAGTCTATGTACTATTCATCCTGAGCAAAGTAAAATAGCCAAATTTTCTGAATTTCTACATATAAAAATAAAAAAATTTCATCTTTCTAGATTATAAACTGAAGAGCATATAGAAAATGAAGTAACATAGTACTGATAAATTACAAAATGTAGTTATAGACTTATAGTGCATATGCTGTTCCATGAAATGCCTGAAAAGAATGGTACCCGTTGCAGAGTTTAATTTTGATTAACATTCATAAAGCAATTTCACACAATGCACAGTACATGACTCATTTTTCCATAAGTTTATTGGTGAATTTGGTAAGGAACCATATTTGTTAAAAAAGTGATAGGTTCTTGGGTGTTTCATTTTTACAAACAAATTTAAGGACGGTTGAAATTGAGGGATTGAAAGGCTTGGCAGGCGGGAGCAAAATATGTGAGAAACCAAAGAAAGAGAGAATATATATGATTCTGCTAATAATATTAGATTACAATAGATTGCCTCTGTGTATTGAACATTTGAACTGTATTGAGATCCTATATTTATAGGAACATTGGAGTAAGCCCACTACTTGGAATAGGACTAGAGTTTCTACTATTCAACACACTCCTTTAGGACTAATATCAAAAAGCCTTCAAGCATAGAGGTGAAATGGAGAGTGATAAAGAGAAGCCCATAGCAATGGAAAGAAGAAAATTGAACTGTATACTTGTACAAACATTGAGCCAATCCCATTCCAACTAGGAGTAGGACTAGGGTTCTACTATCCAACAAGGACCAAGGCTGGATTAAGTTGTAGACTCTAACCTTTACACTGGAATTTACCTTTTTTTTTTTTTTTTTTTTTTTTTTTTTTTTTTTTTTTTTATCTTCAAAGTTGATAGGCGTAAAGATAGAAAATTTAAGGGACTAAATCTTTCTAAACTTGTGTATATTTTTGTTCACATCAAGTTGTTAAAAAGGGAGGTAACTTCATTTTATATAATATTTAATGCTGAAATTACATATTAAACACTTATTTGGTATTCTATTTAAAGGATCTTGTTTAATATTCATATTAATTATTAAAAATATATAATTAAATAATTAATTGTCCATTGGATATTAATTTGGGAAAAGGTCAAATAAGCTCCCTAAGTTGAGTCAATCGTGCAATTGAGTCCCTAATTTAAAAAGAGCTCCATCCATACTCCTCAGAAGGATATTTTTGGTAATAATGCTATAAATATTATCAAAGTTACACTAGATGAGGGTTTTTGTTGGACGTTTCGAAATAGTAAAGAGAATAGTTATTTGTGGACAGAGAGTAGTTGCTTTTGTCTCCTACAGTTTGATTTATAACTAACTCAGATGGTATTATTCAATGAAAGGTTAACAAATTTGATGCTGCCCGGTTTGCTCCTTTCTGGAATGAAATAATAATGAATTTGAGGGAGGAAGACTACATTAATAGTTTGTAAGTTTTACTTATGGCCATTGCATTTTCCAATATCCAATTTATCTTATTGACAGACTGCTCACTAAAAGCTCATCAAGAGGTTGATTGATCTTCACTGAATTGCAGAGAAATGGAATTGCTTCTGATGCCTAAAAATTCTGGGAATCTCTCCTTAGTTCAATGGCCCCTGTTCCTCCTCGCTAGCAAGGTTGGTCTGTTGTTTTAGAATTATAATACTCTTCTTTTGTTTCTATGCTCATCGGGTGTGCCAATACTGTTCTTTTTCTCATTTGTGATAAGTGTGTATTAGTTATCTTTTCTCTTTTCCACTCTTACAGATATTTATTGCAAAAGATACTGCTGTTGAGAGTAGAGAGTCCAGGCTATCGCAAGAAGAGCTATGGGATAGGATTTCAAGGGATGATTACATGAAGTATGCAGTTGAAGAGTGCTTTTCTACCATTCAGTTAATCCTCACATCTGTATTAGATGACGAGGGTAAGAAGTGGTAAGTTAATGTCTTGAGAAAGTTAAACATATGAGTATGCCTTGCAAGTTAGTGACTCCAACAATTTCTGTCTGCCTGTGCTATTGCAGGGTTCAGAGAATCTATGAGGAGATTCATGAAAGCATAGAGAAGAGGAGCATATTTGATACTATTGAATTGAATAAGCTACCACTAATGATTCAGAAAGTTACCGCACTTTTAGGAATACTGGTTTGTATTTAAAATTCTTGCTTAATGTAATGCAGCTTTGTTTTGCTTTGAGCTTAATTTATGTATGTTTTTGTTGGCCGTAATCTACAAACCATAGGGGGACCATTACAAGCAATGTGTGCACTAATGCCTCTTCTTGCATTTTAAAATGTCGTATAGTGCATGATAGCAAATGTTTATTTCCACTGTACTTATCAGCCCGAGATGTGCTGCTATGTTATTTTTTGTACTTGGCTGCTTTGTTTCACCACTCTTGCTGTCTTTCACTTTCTTCGTTGCCTCTAATAATGATGGAAGTTGCTTTGTATTTTCTCATGGACCTCTTACACATTTGTCAAATGTGGCCTTACAATGTTGTTTGGGAACATTAATATGATTTGGATTATGAAGTTCCTTTTTTACTTGAAAAATTAAATTTCATTTTGCAGAAGGAAGAACATTCTCAGAAACAAGAAAGTGGTGCTGTTAATGCTCTGCAAGATCTATACGATGTTATGCGATTTGATGTCCTTCATGTTAACATGAGGTATTTTGGGGTCATTATTGCCATTTTTATTAGGGTAAATTTTGGGAAAGACCCTATGCTTTGACTCACTTTGTATTAAGGAGATCTATAAGTTGTAATGATTTTCAGCCTATATTATGAAATCGTAATAAATAACAAAAATTCCTTCTTCAATATAAGTATCTTATATTCATCATGTTTTTAACAAGGTTATATTGATCATTAAAATATGCATGTACATAATGCCAGTTAAAAATTCAATTAATTCAGTCATAACCAACATTTATAATAATATATTAGTTATTTAAGATAATAAATCTTGACATCAAGTATTGACCAGCATTGATTATGAAGAAAAAAATATTATTGCAAACTATATGTTGATATATTTGATGACTAATTCTTTTCTCATTAAAATTATATGTTGAATATCATAATCTGTCCAAGCATTTAATTTATTAAAGATTATTCCATTGGGATGTAGTTCCATAACTTAAGAACTATAACAATTATTTTGAACTTAGCAGAATTAAAGAATACAAGTTAAATCTAATTAAAAGAAGTTTGTGTTTGACAATCATAATTAATACTTTTTAAACAAATTTTTTTTTTTTTTATTGTTATTCATTATTTCTGGTTTGACTAAGATTAAAAGTTGCAGTGTAAAATTCTTATTATCGAAGTGTGTAATGTACTCGTAATGAAGATATGTTAATTACACATGATAGTTATTTACTAGAGAAGTTAGTGGAATTCTTTATTTGTTACCATTCTTTAATGTAGAAAAAAATATGTAATACTTTTTAGTGAGAATGTAATAATCATCTACGGGTTAACAAGTACGTAGTATTACATTTTTACTGAGAAGTATTACTTGGTCCTTGAAAAGTATTAGTGAAAATATAATTCTTTTCAGTGGAAGTGTAGTACTTGTTATTTCAAGGGCCAAGTAATACCTTTCAATGAAAATGTAATACTTGTTGACCCATAGAAAAGGATTACATTTTTGCTAAAAAGTATTATCTGTTTCACTTGAGACGGTCTCACACAAGACCAAACGCTTAAATTTTTACCCCTTTTTTTCTTATTCCTTCTGTGTTTTGGATTTAATATGTGAGATTATTTTCAGGGAACACATGGAAATATGGAATGACTTGTCAAAAGCTAGGAATGAAGGTCGCTTGTTTCAGAAGTTGAAGTGGCCAACAGATGTTGAATTGGTGTGTTTATTTCATGCATCTTTCTTTTCAATGTTTATGCATCTATGCGGTTTTATTTCAATCTTCACAGTTGCCTGCCCTCACCAACCCACTAGTTATCTCTGACATGATCATGGAATACATGTAGAGGGCTCAAGTCAGAAGACTGTATTCACTTCTCACTATCAAGGACTCTGCTGCCAATATCCCTAAGAATCTTGAGGCTCAACGCCGGCTAGATTTCTTCACAAATTCACTTTTTATGGAGATGCCAGTGGCAAAACCTGTCCGTGAGATGTTGTCCTTTAGGTAATAATATCGTGCTTCTTACTGGCATGATTCAAATCCTTTATCTAATTTGGAGACTTTATTTTTATGTCCTTGCAGTGTCTTCACCCCATATTACTCTGAGACTGTCTTGTACAGTATGTCTGAACTCCTTAAAAAAAATGAAGATGGGATCTCAACTTTATTTTACCTCCAAAAGATCTATCCAGGTATCTACTAATCTTATCTGATGTTACCAAGGGGGTACCACCGAAAAACTACACCAAGTTATATAAACAATAAATGCTAACCAAACTATATAAGATTACAAGGTTGATTACTGATTATGAATACTTGATGTTAAGAGTCCTACATTGATAAAATAAGAGAGAACATATGGGTTTATAAGGCCATGGGTTAGACTAGCTAATTGGTTGGATTCAATCTTTTAGTGTGGTTTGACCCATGTGTATTATAGCTTAGTTGAGTGACCCTGGCCCAATCTTAGTTTCTAAAATGGTATCAGAGCTTGTTCGGTCCACTTTGGGTTCACCCGGTTATGGGTATTGGTGGCTTCCAAGCTTTCGTAAACCCGCTTGTTCGGTCCACTTTGGTAGCGCTTTCGTTTCAGGGGAGGGCCCGTTAGATTTAAAATGGCCCGGTTGTCCACTTGAGGGGAGTGTTAAGAGTCCCACATCGATAAAATAAGAAAGAAGGATTCAATCTTTTATTGTGGTTTGACCCATGTGTGTTATAGCCCAGTTGAGTTACCCTGGCCCATCTTAGTTTCTAACACTTGCTTTTTGTCTTGAAAAATAACAAATGAAAAATAGAGAAACAAACTCTATCCTAATTGCTTCACACCCTAGCACTGGATCACAACCGGCTGACCAAACTTCTGGGTTTCTACCACCCACTGTTGATTTTTAAACATCTTAATTAAAATTATTCTGTGGATGGTAGATTAATGTTGGAAGATATCTATTGTTGAACCTTTGAGTGTATCTTTGTTATTTATTTATTGACATATAAAGGAAATCAAAACAAAGTATCAAGGGGGTGCCACCCAATACATGAATAGATGTAATAACGGTCTCCAAGAAAATTAAAAACTTACAAGCTTAAGCCTATCTAAGGAGTCAATAGTGTAATGTTATTGTCAAGATGCTTTCCATGATCTAAAAGGATGGGTTATACAAAAAAAAAAAAAAAAGTGTATTCAATCTGTTAAGAGTAATGATTAGCCTTCGAAATTTCGATTGTTCCGTTTATTCCAGATCAACCTCATGGAACACATTGTGGTCATCTGCACTCATGTTAGCTTTTCCTGTTTCCTTTGAAGTTCCTGATTTTCAATGTCTTTAACCCTACCGAACCTTACGGTTTTAAAAGGGGATCCATTATTATATGCTGGATTTTCTCTATTGTTGAAGCCTCTAGGATTTAATTAGGCATTGTAATTGAGAGATTTATTAGGTGAGCTTTAGTGGATTTTTACTACTATTGAGGATTTTATTGTTGTTAGTGTTCTATAGCATGTCTGTAATTCATCAGAGATAATGTTGACTGCAGACGAGTGGAGGAACTTTCTTACTCGGATTGGCCGTGATGAAAACATATCAGAATCAGAACTTAGTAATAGTGATATTCTTGAACTGCGTTTTTGGGCTTCATACAGAGGACAAACATTAGCTAGAACTGGTATGCATTTCTCTCAGACATTTTGTTATCTTGTACCATGTAATTGCTTACAATCTAATGCTACATTCAACTATTTTCATCATGAAAGAACATCAGTGAAATGATTTTTTTTTTTTATCCTTATTTTTTTCCAAAATTTTCTTTGTGTAATTAAGAAACTTTCACCAATCCTCATTGCTTAACTCATTTTTAATAAAGTTTTTCTATATGATAAAACTAAAAGGAGATCTAAATTTTCTTTCTACGAAGTACAAACATGATTTAATATCCATCTCATTGTATTTGGTCAGTTTTAAGGAGGAAGGACCTGAATGTTGTATAGGGATGATATTGTCATATTTAAAACAATATATAGTTTATATTTTGAACTTTCTTTTTATTTTCCTTTGCTCTGTTAATTTGGTTGCTGACTACAGAACTCTTTGGGTTTTGCAGTGCGTGGAATGATGTACTACAGGAAAGCCCTCATGCTTCAAGCCTATTTGGAACGGATGGCAGCTGAAGGTTTGGATATCTGTGATGAAGTGATTATGTTTATTATATTTTTTACCTATTACTCTGCTAGTTTATTTATAATACGTATATCTTTAGATTCCGAGGCTGGGCTTTTAGGGAGTGCAGCAACTGATACTGAAGGTTTCGAGTTATCTCCAGAAGCAAGAGCTCAGGCAGATCTTAAATTTACCTATGTAGTTACCTGCCAAATATATGGAAAACAGAAAGAGGACCAAAAGCCTGAGGCTGCAGATATTGCATTACTAATGCAAAGGTGAATATATGCATTCTCCTTTGTTTGAATATAAGTGCATGATCTACTCAAAGCTTAAACATTAAATAGTTTGAAAAGTGCAAATGCAATACTCTTGTTACATTATAGTGCTAGGCAGTGACCTTCTCCAGTAATTCTGAGTTTCTGTCCCTTTGACCCATTCTTGTAGAAATGAAGCACTTCGAGTTGCTTTTATTGATGAGGTTGAGACCCTAAAGGATGGAAAAGTGAACAAAGAATATTTCTCAAAACTTGTGAAGGCTGACATCAATGGAAAAGATAAGGTTTGTCCTTTTATTGTTATTTCCTTCCATTAGATGCCGTACCACCAATGGCAATGATAGGGCAGCTATTGAAATTTGGAAAGCAATTACTTATAATGCCAAGCTATACTGTTTGACAGTGTTGAAAACTTGTTTTGACGAGACATTTTGAAAACCATCCTTCTTACTACTTATGAGTCATGTAGTTGATATGTGCCTTGCAGTTTAATGTGGGTTTGGCTAAACTTTGCATATGGATTCCTAGTTGTGGGATTGGTAGTTATGCTTTTTAGATGGATGCATACCCTCTTTGTTTTCTTTTGTTGCTCTTGATGTAAAGTTGTCTGTGTGGTTGTGTTGTACCAGATATCTCCAACCCCTTCATGTTTTTCATTTTTTTAAAAATTGTGTTATTGTTATTGTTATCTCCAGCCCCTCATGTTTACTTTCATTTCTAAATTCTGTTTATGGACAGTTGAATGTTTCTTACTTGGGCAGTTATACTTCCCATCCTTTTTTACTTTCTAACCAACAAGGAAATAAACCCTATGTGCCAATTCTTTCACTTCTACACCATACCAAATGCATTGTTAGTTTGTTTCCAATGATATGAAATATAGGCTGTGTGGCTGCATGGGATGCATGTAAATTATGGTTAGAGAAAAGTTCTGAAAACTTAGCATCTAAGATTAGTCAAAACAGTACACACCTCTTTTCATTGTCTTCTAGCCCCTAGTAGTGTAGCCAAAATATATTTTGATATTATAAGAAATTAGTTGATCATTGTTGTTTCAAAAAAGCATCACTGTTATGGTTATAATTGCTTTTAGATATATTACAGGAAATCTATTCAATTAAATTGCCTGGTAATCCCAAGCTTGGTGAAGGGAAACCTGAAAATCAAAATCATGCTGTTATCTTTACACGTGGAAATGCAGTACAGACTATTGACATGAATCAGGTAACTAATTGTTCTTAATTGCCTTATAGAATTTGCAAAAATAAGATAGTTCTTGCATAATTTGCACTAAACATTTTGACCTTAATTCATTTAAACGTTTTCAATATTTTATTTCTTGAATTTATTGCTTTTCTATAGGATAATTACTTTGAGGAGGCTTTAAAGGTGAGAAATCTTCTTGAAGAATTTTTCCGGGACCATGGAGTTCGTCCTGCTACTATTCTTGGTGTTAGGGAGCATGTGTTTACAGGGAGGTATGTTATGGTATTATTATATGCCCCTTTATATACTTCTTGTTGATAAGCATCTGACTCTTAACATTGTGCATCTTAGTGTGTCCTCTTTAGCATCCTTCATGTCTAATCAGGAATCTAGCTTTGTGACTCTTGGTCAACGTGTCCTAGCAAATCCTTTGAAGTGAGTATACATTAATCTTTAATATTTGTGGTTTCAAGGCAACTAATAAATTCATTCCGAGTTCTGACTCATTTTGGAATGATCATCAGGGTTCGTATGCATTATGGTCATCCGGATGTCTTTGATAGAGTATTCCATATAACTAGGGGTGGTATCAGCAAAGCATCTCGCGTTATTAATATTAGCGAAGATATTTTTTCTGGTAAATGTTTGCTGCTCATTAAGAGGGGCTCTTTGTGTTCAACTTTATATTGTTGCATTGTCTTCAATTCCTATTGTAAAGGCTAGAAGCTCTATCTCCTTTGGAGAGATATCCTAACTCCTAAACCAAGTTAAGGTCTATTGACATGTGTATTTGTTCTGATTCCAAATTGGTTCTCATCTCTCTCCTATTGTCAATTTTTGCAGAATTTCATTATGATTTTTGAACTTTTTTTTACTTTTATGCATTGATATGTAGAAATGTCATGATATTAATGGAATGATGTGCTTGCTGTTTTTCTTTAATAAAATAAAATGCAGGGTTCAATTCAACTTTGCGCCAGGGCAATATCACTCACCATGAATACATCCAGGTAATTTAATCGCTCCTTTTCAGGTACTACAAGATGGATGTAGTGATGTACATTTTGACGGATACTTCTCAGCTAATAGATTGTTAATTGATGTTATATAGGTTGGGAAGGGACGAGATGTTGGACTCAATCAGATTGCTTTGTTTGAGGGAAAAGTTGCAGGTGGCAATGGTGAACAAGTCCTTAGTAGAGATGTTTACAGGCTTGGTCAGCTCTTTGATTTCTTCAGAATGCTATCATTCTACTTCACAACTGTTGGATACTACTTCTGTACCATGGTACATTATTTGCTTACCTGTGAAATACAATTGTTAGATCTCACCGTCTTGTATGAGTGATGGAGTTGGGTTTGTTATGCTTCGCATTATAGTTATGGCACCACATAATTAACAAGTATGGGCCACAATATCTCATGATTCCTTGGTATTTATGCAGTTAACAATGCTGAGTGCTTATGCTTTTCTCTATGGAAGAGCCTATTTGGTATGTTGAGACCAATAGGTTTTGCATTGTCATTTTCAGCTTCAGCGTTAATAATATACAATTGCTGTACTGTAATAGTTAAATTTTATACATAGTTATATTCTTGATATTCTGATTTCTATTTCTTAAAATTTTTGTCCCAGGCGTTGTCTGGAGTTGGAGAAACAATTCAAGAGAGAGCAGATATATTCCAAAATACTGCACTAAGTGCCGCTCTCAATGCACAGTTTCTTTTTCAGATTGGTGTATTTAGTGCAGTTCCAATGATTTTGGGTTTCATCTTGGAACAAGGATTCCTGAAAGTAAGTTACTGTTGATAATGGTTATATCGTTTAAGCAAGAAGTAGCTAGTCTCTAGATTATTTTATGGTCCAACAAGTCATTTGTTCAGTAACCTTTTTAACAAGTTCTTTATCTCAGATCCTTGTACCTGCCAACTTCACATATGCCCACTTTTTTTTTCACATATTCCTGAAAATGCAGCGATGGAGTGCTTTGTGTTTCTAAACTATTTATAATGTTATTGAGCAAGAACACTTAATAATAAAACATATTAATGTATTTATATGCCATACTCCATATTCATTTTTTCAAGATCCCAGGGAAAGAATGAAAATCTATAGTGGATCCTTTTTCATGTGTGCTTTTCCTTCTCTTTAAATGCTTTCATTGATTGGTTTCATTATACTATATTCATTACAATATGTTGTTTAATTGGCACCTTCTTATTCCATCACTGCAGGCTATTGTTAGTTTTGTAACGATGCAGTTTCAGCTATGCACTGTATTCTTCACTTTCTCATTGGGTACAAGAACACATTACTTTGGTCGGACTATCCTTCATGGTGGAGCTAGGGTACATTTGCTATTATGCTCTAATTTCATATGTTTCTTTGTCTAGAATATTAACTCATGAAATATAATGTTCATTGTTTTCAACAGTACCAAGCAACTGGTAGGGGCTTTGTTGTTCGACACATAAAATTTTCAGAGAACTATAGGCTTTATGCCCGCAGTCATTTTACTAAGGGGTCTCTCTCTCTCTCTCTCTCTCTCCATATCCTATACTTCCAGAGAATTATGGACTATATGTTTGTGTGTGTGTGTGTGTGTATCCCATTTAATATACATTATATATTCAGGGAAAGCAGGTACTTATTTTGAATTATTCTTTTTCAGAATGGAGATAGTGCTTCTATTGGTGGTATACCTTGCATATGGCTATAGCCAAGGGGCTATATCATACATTCTTCTCACTATTAGCAGTTGGTTCTTGGCTGTTTCTTTGCTTTTTGCGCCATATTTGTTTAATCCATCTGGATTTGAGTGGCAGAAGTGAGTTGTCTATTTTCATGCTCTATCACAATACTGTAGTTCATACTTTGTTCCATTCTAAAATTCACCAAATTTGTTGTCCTTTGTAGGACTGTAGAAGACTTCAGAGATTGGACAAATTGGCTTTTTTATAGAGGTGGAATTGGAGTTAAGGGAGAAGAAAGTTGGGAAGCTTGGTGGGATGAAGAGCTGGTATAAATCTTGCTTCTAGATGGATATGTCTTCCTGCCTCCTGCCCTCCTCAGTTATTAATGTTTATCTTCTTTTAATCTTAACAGGCACATATTCGAACATTAGAGGGAAGGCTAATGGAGACCATTCTTAGCTTAAGATTTTTTATATTTCAATATGGCATTGTTTACAAGCTACATGTACAGGGAGATAATACATCTTTGACGGTATAATTTTAAGAGCTCCTATTTTTCTTTCTTACCTTGTCTAAATGGTACTCTGTACTGACTTCTCAATCTTGTGGCCATCAATCTTTTGCCTTGGCTTTTTAGGTGTATGGTTTTTCATGGATTGTATTTGCAGTGCTTTTGATCCTCTTTAAGGTCAGACACAATTGAGAAATTTGATCCCATAAAATACATGCTAATAGAGGATTGATAATTTTGTACTGATCTCTTTTCATGTTGGGGTTTTATAGGTGTTCACTTTCAGCCAGAAAATATCGGTTAATTTCCAGCTGCTGTTGCGCTTTATCCAAGGCCTGGCCTTTTTGCTTGCACTAGCTGGTGTAGCCACTGCTGTTGCAATTACTAAACTTTCTATCCCGGATATATTTGCATGCATCTTGGCATTCATACCCACCGGATGGGGAATTCTTTCTGTAAGTTGAAGCCAGACTTAAAAATGCTATTCTGTCAGTGACATGAATAAAGAAAATGTTCAAAAGTCATTGTTAGCTCCTTGTTACAGTTTAAAGAATTTCCTAGGGCCTTTTCTAAAGAATTCTTGCCATAAGTTAGATGGACTTACTTGAAAAAAAAAAAAACATTTGTAGAGTGATGGTGGACATAATTTGACTATGGATTTAAACAGAATAACTGAGATGAACCTCATAAAGATCACTTCAAAAGAACATGACATAATTGTGCCCAGAAAATTGACTGGAATTTATTGATTGTTAGAAAAGCTAAAGTGGTATATTGCATGCTATCTTTATTCCTATTTTTGTTTTTGCGACTCTATTGGATTTTGGTGTAGTGTCATACTGTTTGAGTCTTCTCTTTTTACGTCATTACGTTTAATTTTTTTCAGATTGCCGTGGCGTGGAAACCTCTAGTCAAGAAAATGGGATTGTGGAAATCAGTTCGTTCTGTTGCGCGGTTATATGATGCTGGGATTGGTATGCTCATCTTCATCCCCATTGCATTCCTCTCCTGGTTCCCATTTGTTTCAACGTTTCAAACCCGGCTTATGTTCAACCAAGCGTTCAGTCGAGGGCTGGAAATCTCTCTTATCCTTGCTGGGAATAATCCCAATACTGGTGTGTGATTCACACGTAGGACACGCTTCATTCTCGAGCATTTAGGGTGTTCCGTTTTCTGAATTTGTAGAATGCACTCTTTGAGGCTTTGCCAGATGATGAATTCCTAAGTTACCATTTCTATCATTGATATTACATTTTAATTAACTAGTCTTGAGAGTGCTACATTAATAGAGAGCTTGAGAGCTTCCCCCACCCCCTGTATATATTCTTGGGCTGACTGGTTTGAATACCTAGGCTTTTCACTGTCGTTCTATAGTTCATTAAAATGATTTTGATGTATTTTTCACATCAGTCTTAAGTGACTTTATTTGCACAAGGCTACTGGGACCAAATTTTTGGTTCCAAATTCTGTCGATCATTATTCTATATGGACATTATATTTTTAATAAATTAAAGAGTATATTAAAAAAAATTAATATATTAAGAGTACATTATTTGAGTACTGAAAGTATATTATTTTGTATACTATGGAGTATTAAATAATGTACATATAGTACACAAATAATGTGTTTTTAATATATAAAAAATTAGGCAGAGGTATCAAATAGACTCATCTACTACTTCGAAGTGTTTAATTCCCACAACGAATTAAATTAAGTGTCAAATAGGCCCATCTACCAGCTAAATTTGTTCGATTGACTGTTTTTGCATATGTTAACAAGTTGCCTATTCAATTATTAAAAAATATAAATAAATAAGTAAATAAATAAATACACAGATTGATCAGATTTTAATTTTTTTTAAAGATTTCTTATTTAATGAATATGATTATTCGTTAACTTTTTCGTTAAATATTATCTTTTTTTGTTAATTTCTGTTAGTTCACCTTTAATTTACTCATTGATTTCAATAAGAAAGGTCTTAGGTTCGAACCTCATCCCAATCAAAGTTGACATAATTATTACTCTATTTTACACTTAATAATAATTTAGTAGCTACAACAAAAAATAATACATATGTATTTCTTTAATTTAGAATTATGTGTCTACAATGTCTTTATTAAAAAAAATTATTCATTATTAATAAATTAAATAAGAGAAATAATTTCATTAGTAATATTGTCTTTATTTTTTTCCAATATAACAATTATTTACATTCAAATCCATCAATTGATTATATTCGCTACATTGTCCCTACAATGTCTTTATTAAAAAAATTATTCATTATTAATAAATTAATTAAGAGAAATAATTTTATTAGTTATATTGTCTTTATTTTTTTCCAATGTAAAAATTCTTTACATTATTCAAATTCATCAATTGATTATATTCACTACATTGTCTATTATCTTTTTTTGTGCACTTTTTTTAAATTAAATATCAAAGTTATAATACAAAATAATGCTATATATTTATTTACCAAGTATTTTTTTAGTACCATGAAAAAATTAAAAAAAAAAATTAATAAAGCCAATCATATTAACTACTTGAGCGATTTGTTGACAAAGGGAGTATTCAAATCACACAACAAATTGAAGTGAGAATTATCTCGCAATGTCCTTGTTTGACAATCAGCAGTTAGCATTAGCGGATTTGACCAGCGAATTATATCAACGGTTGGTAAAAGATATTTGAAAAAATTAGCTGTTTAGATTAACATATAAAATGACCTAAGGGTATACATATAATAATAATAATAATAATAATAATAATAATAATAATAATAATAATAATAATAATAATAATAATATAATAATAATAATAATAATAATAATAATTGTTTAAAAAATAAAAAATATATATAATTAAGCCAACCATATTAATTACTTGGGCGATTTTATTGACAAAAAGAGTATTCAAATCACACAACAAATTGAAGTGGGAATCTTCAATATTAGTATATATTTAATATTTTATGTCCTAATTTTTATTTACTCTCCCTTATGTCCCGTATTTGTTTTCAACCATACCTATACAATTATTTTATTGACAATTATAATCAATCTTGATTATATTATCTTGCATTTGTAAAGTTAGAATTACATATTTAAATACGCAAATTCAACATTCAATTATCTATATATGCATGAACAATTCCAATATAATCTTGCCTTGATATACTTTAAAGTACTTATTTTAAAAAAAAAAAAAAATTTGGGCATTACCCCAATCGCGCAATGCGCGTAAAAAACAAGGCCATTGAACTGCACACAATAATGTAATTAGGCCATTGAACTTAAAAAATCAACAATTGGGTCACTAAACTAACCAATTTCAAACAATTCTTCCAACGGTAATATTATGTTGTGCAACCGTGTGCACCATGTATGGTGCACACGGTTGCAAAAACGACGTCGTTTTGAGTAAAAACGCGCGTCCCACTTAAAAAAAAAAAATCAGGTTCGATTCCCGGCAATAACATTTTTTTGTGCATAATTTGAATTATATATCCACAAATTCATAACTATATATCCACAAGTTCATAACTATATATCCACAAATTCATAACTATATATCCACAGTGAATGAATAACACAAAATCCAGAATGAATGAACTAAATATCCACAATGAATGAACCAAATATCCATAATGAATGAACTAAATATCCACAAATTCATAACTATATATCCACAATAATGCTGTTGAGGGGAATCGAAACTGAATTTTTTTTAAAAAAAAATGGGACGCGTGTTTTTTAGTCAAAACGGCGTCGTTTTGCATGGAGCACACGGTTACACAGCATAACTATTGGTCTAATTGTATTATGCTGTTCGATGACTTATTTGACCCTTATTCCAATTATTATTCTGTGACCTAACTAGCTGATGGGCGTAAATTATTCTGTGGACTCGGGTCTATCTTGCAATTTTATATGAAGTTGTTGTTGGAAAAATTAAATATGAAATGTGATGTTGGTCCACCTCCATAACACTTCGACATTTGTTATTGGAATAATGGAGAATGAGTTCTCCATTATTTGTGTGGTAGCACAGTGCGCTCCTTTCTTAGGAGCAGCACAATTGGCGCTAGTGTGTAGACAACACACTTTGTCCTTTTTTGTGGTTGGATGGAGGGGGCTGCTTATTATAAATAGCAGCTCCCAACATCGTTTTAAAACACACCTGACTTGAAGTCAATTATCCTATTCTCCTTCTCTCTCGCTTAGTCTGAGCAATAGTGAGGGTCACCTACGTGATTGCTAGTGCAAGCTATCCGTAGTTGGTCTGTGTAGCCTGTCGAAAGCGTGTTTGGGTTCTATCTGCACCGTTACCGGGCAAATAACGCTTTTAAGGTAGTGTTATTATAACACGACACAGATTTTCTTTCTACCATACACCCATAGTGTCTGTGCTTCTTAAAAGGCTTCCAGATCGTGCGTTGACGTTGTACATTTCCCCAACAATTTAAAAGCGTTATTTGTGCAATAGTCAACCTTTAGCATTATGGCACCTTCTGTCATACCGGATCTATCAAAATTCACCGCGCTTGATGGGAAAAATTACAGTAGGTGGGCTCAAAGAATGTTTTTTCTCTTTGAACAATTAAAGCTGGTTTACGTGCTATATTCATTTGCACCTGAACCTACTCCAACAGTGTTCTCTCCCTTTGGTGCTACAAAAGCTAACCATGAATCTAATTACACTCCGGGTGAAGAATCAAGAGAAAGCAGTCCTGAAAGAGATTACATTCTGGGTCAAGAACCGGGTGTAACTCTGATGCAGTTTAGAAATGACAATGCGACAGCCAAAGGATACCTTCTGTCACAAATGAATGACGATTTGTTCGACATCTATGTCAAACAAGACTCGACAAAAGTCATTTGGGAATCACTGTCAGAAAAGTACGGTGCCAATGAAACTGAAAATCAAAGTCTCAGAACTGTCTACAACAAAAGGAGTAGAAAAATCAAGAAGTTCAAAGGAAGGTGTTTTGCATGCAGAAAGCAAGAACACCGAGCACACCAGTGCTACCATCACAAGGGCAAAACTAGCAAAAGTCAATCTGACTGAACAAGATGTGTATTGAGTCTCTTTAAATAAGTAGTTATTTTTTGAGTAACTATATTTGCTCTAGTTCTAAGGGTTCGCATGAAGTATGATTGTCTTAGTACTGAATTCTAGTTGAGTTGTCTAGATTTTGATTACTTAGTAGTACTTACTTCTTTAGTATGTTGACTACTAATGACTTTGATTGATTTAATGAGAACATGGAAAAGTCATCACTCTTGAATACTCTATCTAGGAAGGTGGTTTTTAAGTAAACTTTGGTTTCACCACTCGACCTGGGAGTACTTAAGAAGTAGGGCGTTGATTCTGCAAGCTAGTTAGAGCGCCACTTGATCTTCACCTGAAATGAGGTTGACTTTCATATGTTGTTAAACAATCAAAGCCTTGCAATAGTAATTGTTGAAGTACTGCAATAGTAATATTGATCTGCATCCTATGAATGCTTTATATGAGTTTTAATTTCCTCAAGGGAATGGAAATTTGTGCAAGTGGCAACGCTGAAGTCTCATTGTTGAGAGATATTTCCGAATAAATATGAGCTCGAACATATTCCTTGTGTATGAGATTAATTTCTTATAAGGATATGATGTGAAATTTGTGATTATGTTGTTCAACTTGATGTAGCATGTGGACAACATTATTTCTATGGCTTACTAACAATGAGCATTTGTATATATATAATTTAAACTCTTGGTTGAGTCATATTGAAATACCTATAATTCCTAGTTAAAGGGTAATTGTGATCAATTGAGCATGTATCAGGCAGAGTGCGAAGCTTCTATAATGCTCCACAAAGCAAATCGGAAAAACTCAGTCTACAAAGGAGCTAATGTTGGGCACCAAAGATCAGTCTGGGTAAGAGATCAAATACATTTGACAAAAATATTTGTAAGTGTTGCATTGTGGGGGTAATAAACTCCTTATATTTTCATCAAAGTTTCTCTGTGGTATTGAGAATAATGATGAAAGAGAATGTTTCATGTTAAACATGAAAATCTCAAAGGATTATTTATGAGTAAACGAAGTACTCGTCAAAGTGCATGTAAGTTTGGTCAAGAGAATCAACTTACTTGAGGACTAATTATGAGGATTAGTCGTTGACTCATTGGAAGGACTTAAAGTCCAAGTCGTAATGAATTCGTGGTGGATCCCACTTCTGTGGTCAAACGAAGCCATGAAAAGAGTTACAAAATAGTACACTAGTTGGTCATTCCGACAGTGTGTGTACTTGTGAGGTTGACCTACAGCTCTTAATGAATTCATAACTCTTTGAGAAAGGGTGGTTTTGTTGAGACAACCCTAATGAATTCATCGCATAATGACATGAGTACAAAGTGCTCTTGGTGACTTATACTCAATTGGGGTGGTCTATGTTGAGGTAGACCTAAAGAGATCCCTAACTTGAGTAGAAAATGGCTAACCGCCTCTTATGAAAGATAATGATCATTATCTTTCATAAGAGGCGGTTAACCCTTTTCTACTCAAGTTAGGGATCTCTTTAGGTCTACCTCATGAGTTTATCCCAAGAAGCTGAGTGACTAAGAAACATGGTGATAACCGTGCAGTTGTGGGGGTGTCCAACACCTTCACCACATTGTGATTCACAAACTGTCGTTTGTGTTGTAAATAATAGTGCTTATGATAGAAAGAAAAGACTTACAACTGATTTATGTCTTTAACTACTCTATAAGCCTACATTGTGATTCACAAACTGTCGTTTGTGTTGCAAATAATAGTGCTTATGATAGAAAGAAAAGACTTACAACTGATTTATGTCTTTAACTACTCTATAAGCCTTAATGGTAGTCTATACTAAGATAGACTTGATAGAGTTAAAAGTCTATATTGAGATAGATTTGATAAGACATAAAAATCTGTAATGCGGTAAGACTTGTCACAGATCAAAGTCTATGTTGTGATAGACTTTGACAGGGTAAAAGTCTATATTTGAGACAGACGTAACATTCTTTAATACTAAGGGTGTTCATAAGAAGTCAAAGAGTTTGACTTTTGTAGGACTTGCTTTTTGAGTTTGTGTGTGCATTCGAGTTCAAAATTTATCTAGCCGCTGAGTTCAAGACTCACATCACTCCCGGAAAGAAAATTACTCAGTGTCACTACGTGTTAGTTCAAGTTCTCAAACACTGACATTAAGACCAACTCATTTGTATTGCTCAGACATTGTCATTTCATTTCATCTTTAAGTTTGTGGGGGATTGTTGGAAAAATTAAATATGAAATGTGATGTTGGTCCACCTCCATAACACTTCGACATTTGTTATTGGAATAATGGAGAATGAGTTCTCCATTATTTGTGTGGTAGCACAGTGCGCTCCTTTCTTAGGAGCAGCACAATTGGCGCTAGTGTGTGGACAACACACTTTGTCCTTTTTTGTGGTTGGATGGAGGGGGCTGCTTACTATAAATAGCAGCTCCAAACATCGTTTTAAAACACACCTGACTTGAAGTCACTTATTCTATTCTCCTTCTCTCTCCCTTAGTCTGAACAATAGTGAGGTTCGCCTACGTGATTGCTAGTGCAAGCTATCCGTAGTTGGTCTGTGTAGCCTGTCGAAAGCGTGTCTGGGTTCTATCTGCACCGTTATTGGGCAAATAACGCTTTTAAGGTAGTGTTATTATAACACGGCACAGATTTTCTTTCTACCATACACCCATAGTGTCTGTCACTAGTACAAAACAGGGCATAGGAGACTGACATTTAGCTACTGTTGTTAAAAAAATAGTAGTGTATTCTTAATTAAAAAATTCGCGGTGGCAATTTCGTAATAATTGATAGATAATCCGCCACTGTTCTTAGTTGTAATGGATGCGGATTAAAAAATTAAAATAACGCTTTAAGATTCCGCTACCGTTTCTAGTTGAAACAGTGGCGGAAAAGAAAAATAAAACTCCACCGTTTCCCTTGAAAACGGTGGCGGAATGTATTTTAAAAAAAAAATTAATTACAATTCGTTTATATTTTTTTGTATTATATTTTTTTGTTCAAAAAAATGTCATAATAATACATAATATTTATAAAAAATATTAATATTTGACTTCTCTTATTTGTTCGAACAGGTAGAAAAATGTGAAGAAATTAATCAAGGGACATTTGAGCCAAAAAGACAACATGACATATTGTCAGTAGTTCTTGGAAAGGATGATCATCCAGGTTCTGCAAGAGGAGTTGGATGTTACTCTACCATCCAAGGAGTGTTTGGTAGACCAGATTAGAAACAAAGCACATCGCGTGGGGTTTATACAGAAGAAGCTGTCAAACAAATGTTAGAGAAATGTATGCAAGATACAATGACAAAGGTGGAAGCACAGATGAAACCCAGGATTGATACCATGGACCAGCAACTCAAGTTTCTGATGAACAACATGGTGGGGACACATCTATTTTCACAAGGGGTCTTGGCTGGAACTCCTCAAAGTGATTCACCGCTTTGTGATCAACCGCATACTCGTAGCAGTTGTCATTCAGTTGACACATATCCAGTTGCAACAATTAAGGTAATATCAAAAGTTATTTCTTATATCAAAATATTATTTCTTGTTAGATTAAGATTAACACACGTTTTTTATGAATAGACTCCCAAAAGGTGTTCACTAGCAGTTTGTCTCGATGGCAAATCAATTGTTGTTGCAAAGGGTATGACTCACCCAACTACAGATGAGACTTTGGTGAATCGTCAACCATTGTTTCATAACTGTGTCAGAGTTTGGGTGGATGACGTGATTGAAGGTCGAGAGCAATTTAATCTCCCTATGCCATATCAACAGTATGTCACTATAGTAGATGTCATTGGTAACTTTGTACAGTGGCCTATGCATTTAGTGACTTTAGATGATGTATGCATTCTTTTATTTAGTTATTAAGTTAGTTTTCGTTGCTTAAAATGTTAGTAAAATTACAATTATTTTATATTTGTAGAGTTTGCCAAAACAAAATAAGAAACTAACAGACCAAAGTGGTGATCTATCCGCTACTGGTACATAACCTCCCCTTGTTGATGATGATGTCTTACAACACTTGGGGGACAATTGCAAGTATTTAGTCAATGCATTGAAAAGCTTTCCATCTGATAAAGATTATATTGAGTTGGGATTGAATGAAGAAATCTTTCATCATAGAAACACAAGTTCTATTTTTGTGATGATGAAAGATATAAAGGATTTGATGCTGATGAATTGGCTAGACGTCTCAATCATACAAGTGTTTATATTGTAAGTTTTTTTTTTTTTTTTTTTAAACAAATAAAATTATTCTTGTATTAATTTTATATATATGTTTTTTATATTTATTGAAATTTCTTATTAATTATTTCTTAATTTTCAGATTTCTTAATCGGTTGTGCAATAAGTTTAAAGTTAGGTCAATCGGGTTTGTTTGTCCGACTCAGATTTGCAACAGTATGCTTAAACGGAATGCCACCAATGTTATATCATATTTCATCCACGTCATGGAGCAGAACAAAGATAAACAATTTATTTTAGCACCATATCATCAAGAGTATGAAATTGTTCTTTTACTTTATTAGTATTATTTCAAGTATTAGGTATTAAATTTTTAATATGTATGTGTGTTTTTTAAATGTAGATCACATTGGTTACTTTTGGTGATTTGCATGCGCTCAAAAAACGTATGTTTCTTGGATCCCTTGCCTTCTGATCGCGACATTGGTGAAATTAAAGCTTCTATTAATTTGTAAGTAAATATCTTATTATTTATATAAGTATTTTAACTTCTATTATATTATTTATAAATTTTTATGTATGTTTATAATTAATATAGGGCATTTCGCTCTGTTCCTACGAATGGACGAATTAAGAACATCGATTGGAAGCCATGCAAAGTATGTATAGAAATTGAATTTAAGTTTTAATTAGTGTGATATTATGAATTACAATAAATTGCTTAAATTAATAATATATATATGTATTTTGTAGTGCCCGATACAACCTGGAGATTATGAGTGTGGATATTATGTCATGCGATACATGTTTGATATCGTGACAAAATATTCATCTATTGATGATTTGGATAAGGTAAGTGAATTTAAATACAACTATGTATAGTACAGTTAAGTTATATTTTATTAATTAACATAAATTTGATTACTTAAATTTTTTTGTAGGCATTTGAAAGCGATAGTCCGTACTCCATCAATGACATAAATGAGATTCGGGAGCAATGGGTAAAATACTTCTTTTCGGAGTGCGTGTAACTTTTGTTTTATTGATAAATAGTTTTGTTTTGATGATAGTATTGTTTTGTGCATGTTTTGATGATATTATTATATTAAAGTGTAATCGAGGATATAAAGTAGTATTGTGTTTTGATGATAGTATTGTGTTCAAGTGCATTTTGTTAAAGTATTGATGATTGTTTTGTGTTAAAAGTATTGTAGTGTTTCTATGATATTAAAGTGTGACTTTCAAAAAAAAAATGATATTAAAGTGTGGTGATATAAAGTAGTGCATTGATAGATAAATTGTGTTGTGTAGGACTTAAACTGTAACAGGTACAAGAATTATAAAAAAAAAATAGTGAATTTAACAAAAATAAATTAAATAATTAAAAAAAAATTATTCCGCGACTGTTTCTATGTTAAAACAGTCGCGGAAGACCACTGAATAAAGAAAATAAAAAATAAATAAAAATACCACCGCGACTGTTTGACGTCAAGAACAGTCGCGAATTACTACCCAATTCGCGACTGTTTCACAACAGTCGCGTAATGTCCGAGGCTTTTTGTGACGCTCGTATCTGCGACTGTTGTATAACAGTAGCTAAATGTCATTTACAACAGTAGCAAATGATCAGATCTGTACTAGTGTGTGCTTCTTAAAAGGCTTCCAGATCGTGCATTGACGTTGTACATTTCCCTAACAGTTGTCTCTTCAATTTATTTTATATGATGTCTCACATGAGATATGTATAATTTTTTGATAAAATTGTAATACTTTTTTTTATAGATCTATATGAAAAATATTTTTGTTAAATTTCACGCAAAGTTTCCATGATAATCAATTTATGGAGACTGTTTATTCTAGTGAAAAGCATTATGTAATACAAATTTAGTTGGCATGGGAATATTGGGAAGAATTATGCAAGGATGATACTTGTTGAAAATGAGCGATTTCATAGGCCTGAAGAAAGACAATTTGATTGATATTTGAGAAGGAACGTAGAAAGGACCAAAAAGAAACATCATAAAAAGGTCTGAGGAATATGTCATAAAGTTGTGAATGAATTTTATCAAAAGCAATGTATATATATTCTCTACGGATAAACCAAGTGATTTTGTTCGTCGATGAGACAGCTCATTTCCAGTTTTATGTGGCTTGGTGGGTTTTTTGAAATTTGGCGTTACATATTTTAGCAATTATAAGTAAAAGAATTTTGATTTTAGGTTCAAAGAATTTATAAAGGGTCAAATAAGACCTTAAGGGAGCGTTTGATTCAGGTTATATAACATAACCAAGGGAATGTAACAATTCAAAGCTCACATTCCGGTATTTGGTTTATATTATCTTAGGGAATCTAACATTCCCAAGGAACGTCACATTCGCTCCACATAGGATTTTGAAGGGAATGTGATTCCCTTCAAAATCTTAGGTAATGTAAGATAACCTTAGTTATATTAGTTTATTTTATATATATATATATATATATATATATATATATATATATATATATATATATATAATTATTTTTGTAATTATATATATATTTTTTATTATGTTATGTTAGCATATAAAATAATTTTGTTTTTCAAGTTCAAGATTTTAGTTAATGTTTTAAAATCATGTAATTATATATGATACCGTTATCTTATTTATTTGTTTTAATTTTTAAATTTATTAAAATATATAAAAATATGTTAAAGATATTATAGTGTGTACAAAAGATAGCCCTAAACCAAACATGATTATATTACGTACCCCAATTTTAACCAAATACAGGAATCTAGCATTCCCAGTAATCTAACATTCTCAGTAATCTAACATTCCCTAAGCTAATTTGACATTCCGTGAACCAAACGACCCCTAAATTTTACATCAAAAGTCAATTAAGCACCTAAACTTTTAAAAGTATAGGTGCCTAGTTGACTTTTGGTATAAAATTTATGGGTTTATTTGACCCTTTTCCCGCAATTTTATTCTTGATTAACAACCAAAATGAAATTTGGTATATTTATAGTGAATAATAATTACCCACTTCAAAAACTATTACCTATTTTAAGCTACCAAATTGTTTTCAATTACATTTTAATCCCAAAGGAGTTTGTAAACCATAAAAAGAAAAGATTTTTTTTTTAAAGGTCAATTTGTCCCCTATGTTTTTCATCAATAGGCTAATTTTGCCTTGTTTTAATTTTTTAGTCAACTACACCCCATGTTTTGCACACCTCATTCAATTTGCCTATATTGTCAAATGTCATTAACTTTCCAGCCAAAAATAGGGGTAAATTTGACATTTAACCATTTTCATAATCATGAATGACCAATTCTTGAATAATCCTCATCTTCATTAATTTATAGCAATTTTATTCTCGATTAACAGCGAAATTGAAATTTAGTAAATTTATAGTGAATAACAATGACCCATGCGTTATACAAAAAACAGAATATCGGGTTGACTCTTATCAACCCTCATTTGGGCGAGCTTTTTTGCTTAAGGCCTTCCTAATGTAATTTACCTATTCTATGTGATTTGTTGATTATTACACAGGAGCAGAGTTTACCTAATGTAGCACCCACTAGTGATTGCAGATTACTTTCATCAACCCAAAAAAAAAAAAAAAAAACCAATGGAATATTTACCTGTTATCTTGAAAGTTTGGTATGCATGTGATGAAAGGTCAAATTAAATCGAGTGTATTATAAGAGGAATGCATTGAAGTTCTTTGATTGAAAAGTTTTTCATTACATTATTTTATTTTATTTTATTTTTACACATAATATCTGATATTTCATCAGTCATGTGAAAATAATCAATACACTTATCATATTGTTTGAAGTGATTTTCTATTCCTTCTTTTTTTTTTTTTTTTAAATTATCTAGTTTGATTATTTAATGAATTTTTGTTTACATCAGAAAGTATTATCTATTTCAAGCTACTAAGTCTTTTAATTGCATTTCAATCTTAAATGAAGTTTTTAAACCATACAAAAAAAAAAGAAAAATAGTAGAAAAATGTCAATTTCTCCCCTATGTTTTTCATCAATAGCCTCATTTTGTCTTATATATGATAATTTTTTAGTCAACTACATCCCATGTTTTGCACACCTCATTCAATTTGCCTATATTGTCAAATGTCATTAACTTCCCATCTAAAATAGGGGTAAATTTGACATTTAACCATTTTAATAATCATGAATTGTCAATTCTTGAACAAACCTCATATTCTTTCCTAAGAAATGTGCAAAACGTAAGATGTCATTGACCAAAACAATAACTTTAGTAAAAATTAGCCAATTAATAAAAATATAGAGGTCAAATTGATTTTTTTTTTCAGAAACAATAATATATAACAAGGCGTTTGGTTGAAGGGAATTTAAATTCTCTTCCCACTTAATTTCCACCTAATTCCAAAAGCCACAGAATTCCCTTATTTAGTTGAAAGGAATTGCAATTCCCCCATTTTCATGGAATTAAAATTTCATGTCCCCCCGGAATTTTAATTCCTAGAAAAAAAAGATAGTGATGAGTCAAAATTACCCATTCCTTTTTTAACCTAAAATTAATGTCTAACAACAATAATGGACATTTTTGACTTTATACTACTTATTCCCTTTCAATTTCCATGTATACCAAACATTAGAATTGAAATTCCCAATAATTCTATTCCTGTAAACCAAACACTGGAATTTAAATTTTCACTTTATTCCTAGTAATTCATCTCCCATTGAATTGCAATTTAGTCAATATTGACAAAAATTAATTTATAAATCTATTTTTACAATAATCTTTATTTCCATATCTAAATAAAAACTCGTTTGTAGTTTTAAGTCTTAAATTATACTTCTACACTTGATATTCTATTCTAGAAAAAAAAAAAAGTGATTTATATTTTTAACAAGTTATGTGCCGTTAAAGAAAAAAAAAGGCAAATATTATGTCAATAATATAATTTGTCAAAAAAGAAATATACATAAATGAACTGTATCAACCCGAGGCATAACTCAACCAAACCAAAATTTGAATCCTACCAAATTTTTTGAGGGGTAATAAACAAAAACTTTTTAATGCTAATATTTCAATTATTGTATTATTTTACTTTTGGTCATGACATATTTATAATAACTGCAAGATTAAAAGATATATTTTAATAACGTGAGAAAAAATGCGTCATATTTTCAATAATGGAAAGATCAAATTTAATCAATTTTAAATTCAAAGACTAAAGATGAAAAAACACATCATCAACCAAAAAAAAGGTTAAGTGAAAAGAATTTGAGTCGCTTAAATGAGATCAGGATTCGAGAATCTATAAATTTTTTTTTAAAAAGTAATTTTTACTTTAATTTCTATTTTGTGAGGCTACATTTTAAGGAATTTTAGATCCTCGGATGATCCTTCCCGTGTCGGTCTAGCGGAGCCCCCGTGAAAGAAATTGGTGGCAGGAGACTTCAGACGCAAACGACGTCGTTACTATCGGCTTTATTTTTCAGAATGCTTTTGAGTTTTGGGTGTTTTTGTAATTTACTCCAAATTCCAAGGGCGGTTCCTTTCTTCAAACCTAATCCTAGTCCGTTCCCCAAAGCCACGTACTCTCTACACGCGTCTCTAATCTCAACCGTCCGTTACTCCCAGCAACATCTCGACCGTTAACCCCCGTCCTCTCCTCCTATATAACCTCCGCCTTGGTTCGGCCCAGATCAAATTTCGTTTACCGGAAGAGGAGCCGAGATTAGAAAAACTCAGTGAGAATTCTAGAGAGAGAAAGCGGTGCGCCCAAAATAATTATTATAAATATAAATTCATTTTTGATCTTTTGTCTAGACAAACAAAGGAATCGAATCTACTCAAAAAAAACCGAGGCAAAAGTTAACGCTAAGCAATTTTCGGTGTTTTTAATTTTTTAATTTTAAATTTTTTTGGTTTCAATCGGTAACATCAACTGCAGGAACTCCATAAAATCTCTCTGAACTTTTCGAATTTTTAGAGGTTTTAATTTGCTTCTACGTAAGTTGTTGATTTATGGTGTTATTTTTTATT